CTCGTGCTCCACAATCACGGCGGACTTGACCGGCTCGGCGCGGCGCAGCGCGGCCTTGGTAGCGAGGCGGAGCAGTGAGGCGGGATGGCGAGGCGGAGCAGTGAGGCGGGATGGCGAGGCGGGGCAGCCAGGCGTGGCTGTGAGGCGGAGGCGTGTGGCAAAGAAGGGGGGAGAGGGGAGGGGAGAAGACTCTCCTCGTGCAAGAACTGAGGCGGGAGGCCGGGAGACGGGGAGGGAGAGGGCCGACGAGTGTCGCGCCTCAATCTGAGTGGGGTCGCCGGAGCGGCTGGAGCCCTCCAGCGCGAGGCGCGCCTCCGCAGCCTCCGCGTCGAACCTGGCAGACGCCTCCTCTAGCTCGCGCAGCGTCGCCTTCGCAGCCGCCACCTCCGCGGCCGGCAGCGAGGCGGCCACCGCGGCATCGAGCGCGGCGGCGAGAGGCGCGAGGCACGCGAAGTCTCTGAGGGGGTGGCCACGCGACGCCGCGGCGCGCAGCGCCTCCCGCGCCGCAAGCAGCGCCGCGGACAGCTCCGCTCGGGCCTCGCTTGCCGCCTCTGCGGCGTCGCGCCCCTCGAGCCAGCTCTGGGCAAAGCGCACCGCGTCCTCGTCCACACCCACAGCGAGGGCGGCCCGCAGCGCCGCCCGCACTGCCGTGCTCCCCGCCGGGGCGAGGGAGGACGCCTCGTCACGTGCCTAGTCTCGGCTGATCTCGGCTGATCTCGCCATCCGCAGTGAATCCACGCGGGCACGGAAAGGACGCCGCGGCGTGGGCGGTGCGTAGCCTCGCCAACGCCTCGGCGCGCGCGGCGGCGAAGCTCACCAGCCGGGCGTGTAGCGATGTCGCCGCCGCCTGCGCGGACGCGAGCTGCTGCTGCGTCGCCCCCGCCGCCACCGCCACCGCCGCTGTCGTCTCGATGCGCCCCAGCAGCGGCGCCACCTCGTCCGCCGGCGCGCTGTCCGCGCCATCGGCCATCTCCCGCAGCTGCACCAGGGCTGCCGCGAGCTCGTGCGGGCGCCGCGTGCCTGCTGCGGCAGCGAGGCGGAGCTGGACCAGGTAGGAACGCGCCGCCTTCAGGTCACGACGACCTGCGGCACGGACAGGGTCAAATGAACGCCTCTGCACAAAGGGGAGGCAAGCAGGCGGCTACACACTCGGAGGGGAAGCACGAGCCCCAAGGCGTTCGAAGTGCAACTCAGACCGGGTGCGCCACAAAGTGCGGGAGATGACCCGAGATTGCTCAAGGGCGGGAGATGACCCGAGATTGCTCAAGGGCGGGAGATGAACCGAGATTGCTCAAGGGCCCGCGCGGACCTTGCTCGCTGCTCGCCAAAACCGGCCCGAACTGCTCGAGAGAAGCGGCGAGCACCGCAGCCTGCTGGGAGGCGCATGCCGACTGGAGGGCCTCCGTCGCCTACTCACACAGTCGCAGGTGTGGAGAGACGCCGTTCCCAAGCGCACGCCGTATGGAGGGCCGCCGCCGCCTCTGCCGCAGCCACGGCCTTCAGACGCTCCGCCTCGGCCTGCTCCTCGCGCCTCCCCGACCGATCCGGCGCATCAGAGCCGACAGAGCCGAGCGACCGCCGACCAAACGAGATGGAGCAGGAGGAGACGCTGCTGCACGTGGCAGAGCGCGGCGGGGGCGGGGGCAGCCCCGCGGTCTCCGGTGCGTATGGCGCGTCGATGGCACCCCCGGGCAGCTCTGCCAGCCGAGGTAGCGGTGGAGGCATCGCCGGAGGCGTCGTCGGCGGCACCGGCGCCGGCGGCGCGTCGACGAAAGCGTCGCCGGCGGCATTGCCCGACATCACCTCTGTCAGCCGAGGGAGCGGTGAGGGCCGGCCCCCCGCCTCGTGCCCCGCGTCTGCAGGATCGGAGACCGAGTGTGCGGCCGGCTCGTCGCTCGACAGCCGGCAAGAAGACGCGCCGGCGGAGCTGGGGACACCAGAGGAGCGAATCCAGTTGGCCTCCTCATTGCGGGTGTTCCACGCGTAGACTCCGCCAGTGGCGCAGTCCTGGACCACGACGTAGTCCGGCGTTGCACTGTCCGCGGTGGCACGACCCGCCCGCGTCGTGGCCGCGAGTACGCGGACCCTCCCGGAGGCGAGGCAGTTGATGCCCTCGCACCAGCGCTGCCGGCTGCTGGCGTGCGCGCTGAAGAAGAGCATGCGCCGCTCAAGGACGACCTGGAAGCATTGAGAAGTTTCGGCGGTGCCCTCAAAGCAGGACGTGAAGATCTCGTCATCGGCCCGCACGATGTCGCCGCGCTTCGACTCCCACAGCAGAACGGCGCCCGCAGCGCCGCCGTCCTTGCTGGCCACCTTGATAAACCGATCGTGCGTCCCAGCGCGGCCGCCCTTGCGCCACTTTGACAAGTGCCCGCCGCGCACCACAAAGGCGGCAGCAAGCAGCGTAGCCTCGACGTCGGCGCTGCCCAAATCGCACACTGTCCAGAACCGCAGCCGCTGGAGATCCGGGCGGCGGCCGACGAGGGCCTCGAACTCAGGTGGGAGTGGCTCGAAGGTCTCGGGCAACATGACAAAAATGGGGCTCCTGAGTTCGGTGCGGCCGAAAGCTGGTCGACCGCTCTTTCTGGTTTTCTTTGTTCGGTGAGCCTGTGTGTGTGCCAGTCCGCGCCAGTCTGCGCCCTTGTCGTGCCAGTGTGCTGTGAGAGAGGCTTGTATCTTAAGAATTCTTTGTTTCGGGCGAGAGTACAACGGATGGGCGAGGTCGGCGCACCACCCGAGATGACCTGAGATGGCCCGAGATGACCTGAGATGGCCCAAGATGGACCCGAGAGGACCCGAGATGGCCCGAGATGACCCGAGGTGGGCGCGCCGCCCTTGCCACCGCCACCCTCGTGCGCGCGTGTGCGGGGGCACCCACCTCACCTCGCCCCAACCTTAGGTAGGTGGACGCGGGCGGCGCCGGTCCGTCCGACGTGGCTGCGCGGCTGCGAGCGGACGTGCCAGCCGCGTTTTGGAGCCGCGGCTGCGACCCGGCACCGCTGGGCAGCGCGCCGCCGCCCAGCTCGTACAGCGAGAGGGTGGCTCGGCGGCTGGCGTCGTACCGCGACCTGGACAACCCACTCGGCGAGGCCGAGGGGGAGTACGACTACTAGGGGCGTAGACAGGGTATGTGTGTCCCGAAGCCGAGTGTAGCAATTTTAGCTTCTGAATCAAATGCAAAGCCGCATTCCTCTACGTTCACCGGTGGTCACAGACAGCGCTTGAGCACTTGAGCACTGGATAGGGCCGATTCCGCGTGGTACGGGACCCCTCGATCGTCTCGCCCTCCCTCACTGGTATGTTCATTGGGGGGGGTCATAGCGCTAAATACTAGTAAGCAAGCTCCGAATGAGCTCGTTGTCGGGCGGTTTGCCCGCGCCTCGTGATATGGTCGAGTGTACGGCGTCCATGTACGACAAACAACAACAAAATCTCTCTTCTGTACGACATCACCTCGCTGCTCGATCATGCCCGTGGTGTGCTCGAGCTGCGCCCGCATTTTCTTGTTTTGTTCGTAGTAGTGCTTGCTTTGCTCGTGGAAGTGCTTGGCTTTCTCGGTGACGACCGCCTTGTCGTGCCCAACGCGGCCAAAGGATATCCACCTCGAGAACCTCGAGAACCTTGTCGTGAAGGCGGTTGCCGTTCTCGCTCTGAATGGCGGCGCGCGCCTCGGCGGCCTGGCGCGCCTGCCGCTCCTGGATGAGCATGTTGATGAGCTGGGGCTCGCTGGCCATTGTACAACTGAAAAAGAATTCAAGAAAAAGAAAGACGTCCACGCCCAACTGAGGAACTTGTATCTGCCAAGTTGCTCAGGAACTGAGATCTGCAAGATTTGAAGGCAGAGAGAGAGAGTTGCCGCGGCGCCCGCTTGGGTCAAATTGAGAGCACTCTTAGTGAGGGCCAAGCCCTCACTCCGTGCTCTCCCCGCCAAGATGCAGCCCTCCGTGCTCTCCTTCCGATCAGCAGACGGCGTTTCACGTGCACGCCACAAACCTGATCCAGAGCTCCAACGTCTTTCGCGAGATTCTGACGAGCGTGCACTTCGCCAAGCCGTCGCTCGAGCTTCCGGACGACGACCCTGCCCACTTCGAGCTCTTCTACCTGTCGCTCACGGTCGCCTCGCACGTTCCGCTCTCCAACAAGTATGCCCACCCACAGCTCAAGGACAAGATGGACCTTCAGGTCGCCTCCCGGGCCGTCGTATGGCCACCCGCAAGCCGGCCCTCATTCGCTCCGATTCGCGCTTACGCAAAATCTGCACCGGCGGGCTGAGCGCTGCGTCGCGGCCATACCGCTCGAGCCCCGCTTCATGCCCCAGCTCCTGCTGCTGACGGAGCAGGACTGCTCGGAGCACGGCAAGCAGACGCTGCTCCTCAGGGCTCTCTGGCCCAGGCTGCGCAAGGCTGCCGGCCTCGACGGTCTCAGCATGCCCGCACCCGCGCGATCCGCTGCATGTGGCCCTTCCTCACCGCGCTCCTCGCGCCTGCGTCCGATGGTGCCCCAGAGCATGAGCTACGGTACGCCTGGAAGGCGCGGTGGTTGGACACGCTCGAGCCGGCAAACTGGCTCGGCGAGCCGCCGGACAGCGACCGCAAGGCGGCTTACGCCGTGCTCCTCAGGCACCTCTGGCCGGCGCTCTGCGCGGACGCGGATGTCAAGGAGGCCAGCATCAAGAATGTCAGCATCAAGCACATCCAGACGATGTGGCCCTTCGTGAGCCGGCGACCGGACAAGTACAAGACGATCGTGACGGACGCGCGCGCCGTGCTCGCGACGGTCAAGCAGGCCCGGCCAGCTTTACGCCGAGCTGCCCGCGTACCCGAAGCGGTCTACCGGCGCCCCCGACGAGGAGGCCAAGCGTTCGCTCGAGCGCAAGATCGCTCTCTGCGGGCTCGAGAAGCTCGGGCGGGGCAAGCCGCTGACTGCGAGCCAGTGGTGAGCGGCACCGCTGCGTCGTCGAGCAGCAGCGATTCTGAGTCAGAGGTTTGAGTGTTTGCTGTGCCCTCGCGCCAGTAAGACGATAACGTACCACATGCAGACTCATGCACACACGTACACTCCCCCTGTACTCGCGCTATACGCTAATAGGCTATAGTAAATCGGCTAATGCCATAGCGGCACGGCACGCACACACGGACACGGCTCGCTGTACTTGCTCGGCCCCGGATAGTACTCGCTACTGCGTGTCCAGCACCAGATCACGTTGCACGTAGAGCGGCGCGGTAAACAACGCGGGGTACGCCCGGCCCACACCCAACACCCTTCACTCGCATGCACGTACGTAGTATGTCCCGTACGATGCGGTTCACTTCGCTGAGCCGACCAAGACAAAGGGTGCCCAAAACATTGGGGACGCGAACGGCTTCGCGTCGCCTGATGACGCTCCTGACGAGGGCTGCGCAAGGTCGCGTGCGATGCCGGCGCCCGCCGCGTCAAAGGCTAGCGAGAAGCCCTCCTGCAGCGCCGCCTCCGCGGCGATGAGCAGGTCGTGGCACTCCCGGAAGCGTGCCTTCTCCGCCGGCGAGTAGTGCACCGGCTGGCCGTCACCCTCCGCCTCCTGGCCGCCCATCGCCCGGTCCGGGTCGGTGCGCCACCGCCACGGCGGCAAGTCGCGAGTGCGCGAGCCGGTCGACCAGCCCTTTGGCGTAAAGCCCGCACCCATCCAGCGCGTGTCGCTCTCTCGGCCCGCCTCCTTCTTCTCCTTGTGTCCCGTCACGAGCCAGCTGCGACCGCCCGAGTCCATCCCCATCTGCACCTGGCCGTGCGGCTTGTAAAAGTAGTTTTGCTCGCTGCGGCCGAAGCGCACGTTTACCTGTGCGATCTCGTCGAAGCGCGGCGCGTCGTGCGAGCCGAGGTAGTGGAGGTGGAGCACGACGTACCGCTCCGCCTCGGAAGAGCCGTCGGACGGCCGGATCCGCAGCCAGTAGTCGCGCATCGGCAGCCCGCCGCCCATGAAGAAGACGTCGGTGCAGAGCCACTGCACCCTCCCCTCCCCAAAGGCGCGCATGACGCTCATCTCGTGACCGCTCCAGTCGCCCTCCGAGAACCCTTTTGTCTTCTTGCCCCGATCGGCGTATGCCGCCCAGCTGCCCACGAGCGAGCGAGAGAGCGCGCTCAACTCGCGAGCCAGCGCCTCGTCGACGCCTAACGCGCAGACGAGGCCCGACGGCGCTGGGGGACCTCCGCCTCGCAAGGAGCGGAGCTCGGAGAGCAGCAAGCGCGAGCCGGCTGCGCCAAAGCGCAGCCCGAGTGCTACCTCCGCCTCGCCCCAAGGAAGCTCCCGCAGCCAGATCTGCGCGCCACGCAGCGCGGCGGCGACCGAGAGCTCGCCGACGTGCTGGTAGAGCCGCGTGTACATCTCGGAGATGAGCAGCGCCGAGGCGACGTCCGACACGCGCCAGAGCGTCGAGACGGTGCGAGGCACGCCGCTCGACAGCATCGCCGCCGGCAGCCCCACGCACTCCTCGGCGGTGGTGTCCGAGAGACCCGACTCGCACGCCGACAGCACGCACAGAGCGCACCGCTCCAGCGCAAACTGGCGAGACAGCACGTCAAACACGCTCAGCGAGTCCCCGCCCGCGAGCTCCACCGCCGAGTCGAGGCGCGAGCCGGCGGCGAAGCGGCCGTGCGTCGCGAGGTGCAGTCCGTAGTCGCCAGAGGCCGACGCCGCGTCGATCGCGCTTCGCAGCCGCTCCCGCGTGGCGTCGTCGTGCGGGAGCACGGTCGCATCGCAGTTGGGGAGAGAGCTCAAGTGCTCCACCTCCTGGTCCGCGCCGTCCAGGTCGCCCGTCGGGTTCTGCACGATGACGGCGCGAGGCGGGAGCGTGGACAGCGTTGCGGCAGCAGCTTGCGCGCGAGCGAGCAACTCCAGCGAGGGCGTGTAGCTCGCGCCGGCGGGGAAGACCTCGGACACCCGTATCCCGTCAGCGCAGCTCAGCGCGTGGATCGGCACGGCGTGCAGCACGCCGTGCGGCAGAAGGACGACGCTCGCGATGCTCGGGCCGTTGTGCCACTCCTCGTCGGAGCCCTTGTCACCCGTCCTTCGCACCGCGGCGACCACTTCGTCCACCTTGAGGGCGGAGGCGAGCAGCGAGAGATGCGCGTCGAAGGCGGCGGGGTCGGGCCGGCTGCCCGCACTAGTGACCATCGCCTGGAAGGCGGCCACCGCACTCCTCAGAGCTCTGACCGCCTCCCCGTCGTACTCGACTACCCGCGGCAGCGGCAGCGTCTCGGCTAGCACGAAAGCGCAGCCAAAATCGTTCGAAAGGAACCACGCGACCGCCGCCCGGTGCGGGCCGAGCAGTGACGTCGCCCGCTGGTACCACCCCTGCGGCGTCAGCTTGATCGACGGCGAGCGCGTGGGCGCGAGCGGCGGTGCGGCAGCCGCCGCCGCCGCCGCCAAGCGGCGCTGCTCCCCCTCGCCCGCGCCGGACGCCTCTGCACGCTCGAGCGCCAGCCGCTCCGCCCGCTGCGGCTGCGTCGCCGCCTCGGCCAGGCTGCGAGCGCGGCTCTTCTCGATGCACTGCAGCGCCGTTAGCAAGAGGTGCCGGGGCGCAGCGCGCGTGGCAAGACTGCAATGCACACCGCCGCCCACAGCCGGGCCGACGGTCACGGCCACACGGACTGACGCGTGGAGCCGCAGGCAGCTGCGCACGAGCGTGGCCACAAGGCCAGCGCCGTCAAGCGTCAGCTTCCGCTTCGCCACGAGGTCGTCGGTGCCGTCGCGCACGGCGAGGCGCAACTCATCCAGCACCTCGAGAGCGCTCGAGGAAACGGCGAGCGCCTCGTTGTCACAGCTGGCAGAAGAGAGGGCGATGGCGAGGTTGCGCGCCGTTTGCACGTGGTCGGCCGGGTAGGCCTCCTTCGTGTACACCTCCAGCGCCGCCTCGAAGTGCTTGATCGCCGTCTCGACGCTGGCCGCCTTCTCGCCGCAGATGCGGTTGCGGTACGCGATGCCGAGGTTGTCCTGCGTCATCGCCCACTTCTCGGGATACGCCGCCCTCGTGTACACCTCCAGCGCCGCCTCGTAGTGCTCGATCGCCGTCTTGACGTTGGCCGCCTTCTCGCCGCAGATGCGGTTGCGGTACGCGATGGCGAGGTTCATCTGCGTCGTCGCCCAGTCCTCGGGATACGCCTCCCTCGTGCGCACCTCCAGCGCCGCCTCGAAATGCTCGATTGCCGTCTTGACGTTGGCCGCCTTCTCGCCGCGGATGCGATTGAGGTACGCGTTGGCGAGGTTCATCTGCGTCATCGCCCAGTCCTCGGGAAACGCAACCTTCGTGTACACCTCCAGCGCCGCCTCGTAGTGCTCGATCGCCGTCTCGACGTTGTCTGCTTTCTCGCCGCGGATGCGATCCTCGTACGCAGTGGCGAGGTTCATCTGCGTCTTCGCCCAGTCCTCGGGATACGCCTCCCTCGTGCGCACCTCCAGCGCCGCCTCGTAGCGCTCGATCGCCGTCTCGAGGTTGGCCGCCTTCTCGCCGCGGATGCGGAAGCTGTACGCGATGGCGAGGTTCATCTGCGTCATCGCCCAGTCCTCGGGATACGCCTCCCTCGTGCGCACCTCCAGCGCCGCCTCGTACCCAGCGACAGCCAGCTCGAGGCATAGCGCCTGCTCGATGTGCCTGCTCTGGCGAAGCTCGACGCAGCCATTGACCCACGCCCCCGTGGATCGCGCCTTCAACTCGCGCCGCAGCAGCTCCCGCCACGCCAACAGCACCGTCGCCTCGTCGCCAAGACGAGCCACCTCGCCCACGATCGAGTGAACCTCCTCCGCCGAGCATCCTCGCAAGCCGCGCAGCCGCTCCGTCAGCCGTGAGCCCACGCGGTTGCGAGCCTCTCGCGCGCTCTTCTCTGCGCTGCGGAGCTCACCGCGCGGCGCGTCGTCCATCCGCAGCAGCTCCAGCGCTCGCTCGTACGCGCTCGCAGCCTCCACGAGCTCGTCTTGCTCGGCGTGCTTCGAGGCTTTGCGCGACCAATGCGCAGCGTCGTTGGCGGCGGCGGCGGCCATCGCAGCCTTTGCGGCCTCGCCCTCGCCGCGGGCCAGTAGCTGCCCCGCTCGCAGCTTCTGCAGCTCCGCGATGCGCGCCGGCGACGTGCAGCCGCGGAGCTCGGCGTCGCAAGCAAGTAGGTCCTTCATTGTTGGTGCGTGCAGGGCTTTTTCTTTTTCTTTTTCGCAGACAGCGTTCTGAGTGCTCGCCTGAGGATCAGAGTTGGCGCAAATTCCTTTTCTTGTACCGTGCATTAGGGTTAGGGTTAGCGGTTAGATTTAGGGTTAGCGGTTAGGGTAGGGTACAATTCCTCGCAGATGCAGTTGCAGAGATGAAACAGACACGACGTCATAGGCGCCTTTGGCGCGAAGTCAGAATCTCCACCTCTGTCGCAAGATCTCAAGCGACTGCACGCACCAAACGCGAGATCTCAGACTCCTCTCGAGCATCTACACCGGAGAAGATTTGCCTCCACCAGTTCTTCAATCTACTGCAGCTCTTGGCAGGAGATTTGCCACTTAAGAGATCTCTAAAAGGCATCTACGATCTACAGTCCAAGGATCTTCCGATGTTGCGCAGAGATTTCCATGTATGCCGGAGTGCATACGCCTTCTCTCTACTACCCTTACCCCCTCGTCAGTTGCAAGACCACTCCCTTTCCCCCAAACTCGCACTCCGCGGCCGTTTTTTGCCCATCACGCCACCTTGCCCGCCGTGCCGTCTTCCCCAAAACTCGACCTTGCACAGGACCCGTGCCTTCCGCCCTCTATTACCACCGCTCCGAGTACTCCCCGCGCCCTTCTCCGATGCAAGACCTTTATCTACGCTACACTTTGCCTACCCCTCAAACCGCTCTTTCACTGCAGTGAACCTCTTTTGTCCAAGTATTTCTATAGATCCTTACGGTTACGCGAGGCCGGGACGAGCCGATCCGCGGGATGAGCCCATTCGCCCACAAGATCCTGGACCCTTCCATTCACGACGCGGTTTGCGAGGCTTCTTCCGGTCGGGATCTTGGCGGGCCCGACAGCCACGATTTCGTGTGGCCCATAAATTTGAAAATGTACCCCCCCCCTCTTTACGGGGTGTGGACCCTGAGTTGACCAGGGGTTGTGCGCTGGGCCCTCCTGCTCGGCTTTAGCCAGTAGACAAGTCTTGTCATCAACAGAGTAGAAGGATCTGACCTCGGGGCTAATGTGACCAAGCGCTGGTAGCGTGGTTTTACCTCACACCCATGGTCTCACAGTGTGCCGGCAGTCGCCGAGCAGTGTCGCTCACACAAGCCGCAGCACAAGTGACTGAGGGCCAGTGAGGGCGAGCCCATCGCTGTGACAGCTGTGGCAGCCGCACAGTAGGCTGTGTCAACTGTGCAGAGTGTGTGAGCAGCAGAGGAGCTGCTCTCCAGGCTTCAGGCGCAAAGAGCTGCATGCCACCGAAAGCGCTGTCGAGGTTCGCCGAGCGCGGCGCAGGTTGGAGGACGCCGTCACCGACGAGCGCGTTGGACTTTTCACTCCGGACAAAGACGGGTACACGCACACGAGCCGCGGTCGTATACCCGTCTTAGCGGCGAGGCGCGGGACCGTCTGTGGCGAAGTGGGTCGCGTCCTCCGATTTCCTCAACTCACGGTCCGCTCCCTCTACCCCGGCTCAAGCTCTCTACGAGAATGGAGCAAGCTCTATACATTCTGTATGCGAGGATAATTTCACTATACTGTAACCCTTTCCCCTTGGCTATATACTGGAGGTTATGATTACTCTTCTGCCTTTGTGGGGGTGCACCCGACCGGGACGCCCGCAAACCTGGTTGGTCTGCCTCTATGGGGTGCGGTATCCGTAGATCTCCCATTAAGGGGCGGACGTACTCCCCCCCCCCCCCCCCCCCTCCCCTCTCCCCCAGTCGCTGTGGTGACGGCGCCATGTGACGCAGCGAGGTCTGGCAAAGGGCGGGTGCGGCATGCGAATCTCGCCGTGGATGCTCAGCTACGGGAGGAGCGGGCGGGTTGCCTGCAGAGGCCATCGTTTCACAGTGGCCGCCGCAGCGCTTTCGCCTTTTGCGGCGGCGATACTCGACTGTAGGACCCCCATTAGCACAGGCATGGCTGAGCCGAGAAAAGGATTTGCCGAACGCGCCGGCAGTGGTCACACTTGTCGCTGCCGACGGAGCCCGAGGCCAAGCTGCCATCGCCGAGGATAAAACGAGAACCGTTGGGTGTCGGGAATGGGAATCGACTGTGCGAGCGAAGACGTCGCTGCGTCGCTGGCACTGCGGCCGCGGTCATACTCAGCCATCGGTCGACGCTCTTGGCGGAACGCACGAGGATCGCTTCATCTTGCCAGCAGCTCTGCCGCGCCATAACGTGAAGCAGCTTGCCGGCCGTGTGGAGCGCATCGCCGAGCTGAGAGAGGAACCGCGCGTAGGCCATAGAGTCGTCTGTTGTCGGCAGGAGACCGCCGCACGAGCGCCCACGCTCGTCAGGGCAGCAGAGCTCGAGATCAAATGTGACGCCATGGGCGCCGCGCTTGACTACCGCAGAGACTAGCTTGGAGATGAACGCCTCGCGCTGAGAGATCATGCTACGCAGCATGTAGAGCCCGAAACCGCCGTTGTAATACGGGTCCTCCACCGCACTCATGTCATTGTACACGGCCGCGAAGGTTGTCGTCGTGGGAGCGATTCTCGAGAGAAGCTCCTCAGGCGATTCGTCCCCCTTCCACTCGCACATCCGATAGGCCGAACCGTCCACCGTGCTGTTGTCGCCACACACACCAAGCGAGCCGTCGAGACTCACGTGGTATGCAGTCACAGCCACGATGGGGGCGAGACCTTCGGGCGCTTTTTGCAGCCACTTAGGCGGGCACGCAGCCTCGTCGACAGCGACGTGGTCGCACCACAGGACGGGCTGCTCCTGAGCGTCCCCTCCCACTTTTGCGCACAGGGCTGCGGCCACGATGGTCGCCATAGACAAGGGTGGGGAATGGGCAGCAGCGGACGCGTCTCGCGGCCTCCTCGATGGCAGCGGCTGTACCTGCGAGCGGGAGTAGGCAGGCGGTGCGAGGCCGAGGGGGGTGCAGCCGCTCGCGCGGCGGCGCATCGCATGGTAGGGGTGGTGAGGGGGCGGCGGGTTCCGTGAGCAATAGGCGTCGCGGGGGTCTAGGCGTGCAGCTCGCGGCGGCATAGTCGGGCGCAATGCGGCGCGGCAAGCGCGAGCGGACGAGGAAAGTGCAGGCTGCCTTACGACTCGCTCTCCGCGTAGAGCGATTGACGCAGAGAGCGGTCACATCTTCGAGTCACCGTTCACAGTTGTGCGGGATATGTGTCAGGCAAAGGCCGTCGGGGGAATATACACGTCCCCCTCAACACTCTTCGCGAGGGGGGAGCGAGAAATAAATAAAATGGTCAAACTCTGAGCAGGCGGTCTGCCTGCGAGGTCTCTGGCAGGGGGGGGCTGAGAGCGGTCCGTCCTCCTCTTCGGCCCCGCCTGGCTCGCGGCGCGGAGAGAACCCGGCGCCGGTCCGCGGCTCGCCTGAAAGCCCGTCCGCAAGCCCCTCGGAGCCCCCAAGGTGCGCCCGTTTGCCCCGCGCGCCGCCCGCGCCGCGCCTCCGTTTCGAGGAGGCCGTTCCCGGCAGATGCGATTCGGGTGGGACGGGTCTTATTGTGGGTCGCATCCCGGCCCAGGGGCGGGACCAGAGCTCCGCGATAGGGTGACGGAGCTCCCCGTCCGGCGGCACACTGCCCGCTCACCGCTCGCTCCGCCCGTGCTCGCAGGCCGAGCGCCATGCCAGGAGGAGCGACCCGACCAAGAAGGCCCACCGACGATCGTGCCTGGTTTAGCTCAATCACGCCTGGTAGCTGCAGCCTGCTGACTGGGCCTCCATCCGCGTTGATAAAGCCGTCTGTCTGTCTCGAGAGTCACGTCTCGGGCATTGCCGTGTTCCAACCTCCTCGTCGCCACGCTCGCAGCCTGCCCCACAGCTCCCAGAGATAGTTCCGCCGAAATCCGAGTCGCCGTGCGAGAGGAGAGTGGGGTGTGTGTTTGTTCGATTTCGAGACTACGGAGGCTTTGGAAAGGAGGTCTGCGGCACCCTGAGGGTTGTCCATTGTTCGCCACTTGAGACGGCGAACGAGCTAGCATGCAGGGAGAGCGGCATTGTGCGCACGGAGCGCACGCTACTGCTGCATGTGATGACGCAGATGAGGCCCAGCGCTTCCATCTGCTAGTGAGGACCCTCGAGGTGGAGGACCTTTGAGGTGAGAGGACCTCCGATGAGGACCTCCAGCTGTGTGCTGGCTGTGTGAGGACCTCTCAAGTGGCTCGGCCTCTGGGGCGCGCCAGCCCAGCCAGATGATGCTCTCGAGGAGCGAGGGAGGAAATGCATGCTACCTTGTTTTGAGACGGGTTAGTGAGCAAGATAGTGCTCATCACCAACGAAGTCCTGCTCTGGCTTTTTTTGTTTGTGCTTCAATCAGATGGCCGGGCGAAGTGTGCCATGTAGTACGAAATGAGAAGAGGGAGCTGTGTGTTTGTGGTGCGCGGCGCTTTTCTTCGTCTTCACGATGCGTTGTTTCTGTAATAAAATTCTGTAATAAGTTGGTTCGTGTTTCTGTGCCAACGAATTCCCGGGTTCTTTTTTCTGGCGGCCGTCTCGCAGAAGCTCCCTGCTCCCTGGACCCTGGACCCTGCGAGGGGGCTATCTTTTCCACCACCTCTCTGCATCAATGGTTTATAAATAGATCTAAGTAAGTAAATAGAGCAGACATCTCAATGGTTTTATTAGATAGAATCACTATCAAACTATTAGCCTAATAACGTACCTAGTTATTAGCATATACCTAATAATTAGCTTGTTATTAGCTTGACTCGCGTTATTAGCCTAATAAGCACCGAATACGCGCTGTTATTTGCCTAATAATTAGCTTGTTATTAGCTACTCGCGTTATTAGGTATCTGCTACTCAGTAACCAGCCTCCGGTTACTGATTGCCTCCGGATCGCACGTAAAAAAACCCCTGGACCCTGGAATCGGCAACTACAGCACCCTCAAGTCGGCAACCGAATACCTGGCCATCGCCTCTTCCGCGGTCAACCACAACTGGTGGGATACGTCTTCGTCGACTTCGACATCTACAGCTTCAGCATGCCGTCTCCGAATGTTCTCACGGCGACGCAGGAGATCATCGCCGAGACCTTCTTCTTCAACGGACGCTTGGCCGTACCGCTTGCCCAGCATGTGAATAAGTCTAACGGTCGGCAGGTGCATGCCTGCCGACTCTGCTCGCCCACCTGGTGGCGGCGGCGGCGCCGCCGCTGACGACGGTACTGCGACCGGCGGTAACAGCGGCGCTGCCAGCGTCGTCAACGGCGTCGGCGCAGCCGGCCGGCAGCGACTGCCGACGGACGAGCAGTCGGTGCAGCACGCTTACGCTTCACTGCATGAAGCCAACACTGTCGCTCTCGACGCAGAGCATCTCGGTGGTGGTGTCGATGCGGTGGTGGAGGTGGTGGAGGAGGCGTCACTGGTCGCGCCACCCCCACCCCCCCGGCCCTCCCCCGCCCCCACCCGGTCCCCCATCTCCCCAGACACGCCCCCCTCCCCCCCCCCCCTCCACCCCCACCGCCCCCTCCTCAATCAAGTCCCTCCCCCTCTTCCTCCCCCGCCCCCCCGCGCCGCCCCCCCCTTCCTCGTCCACGCCGCCCCCGCCGCCGCCTCCCCCCTTCCCGTCCCGCGCCCCGAGCCCGGGCGCCTCCTCTCCGCACCCCGCGCACAGCACCCCCCCATTCGCGGAGAGCACCCCGCCCTCCTCGTGCAGCCTCGGGCTGTCCCGTCCATAGGCGTGCCGGAGGTAGAAGGTCGCCAGTACCCCCATGCGGGCCGCCGTCTCCACCGAGTCGGCCCTGGGCCCCCGAGGACCCACCTCGGGCTCGGCTTGCCCTTGTCGGAGCGCGGCTTCCCCTTGCTGGTGGCTCGAGCTGCGCAGCTTCTGTAAAGCGTACGCTCTTGTTACGTGAAAATCCGCTGGGACCCGGACGCCAGCACACACGGCTAGATTTCATGGCGGGCCGCCTAGGCCCTGGGGTCGGAGGTAGAGTGTGTGTGGCTGTGAAAGCACAGCCGGGCAAACGGCCGCTGGCGGGAGCTACCAAGGGGCATGGAGGGCCCTCGCCGTACGTACACCACTCGAACTCGCTCTAACTCAGCCTAGCTCGGCGCCAGTAGCAGAGGAAGGCGCGGGTGGCGGCGGCGGCGGCGGCGGCGCGGTGAGATCGCTGGTGTCCCTGCCCGCCTCCCTGCGGGCGTAGAAGAGCGCCGCCTGCTCGGCGGTGGCGAAGTAGCCGAGGTGCACATTTTTGCTCCCAACCGTCACCGACAACTTGTACTTCTTGCTGCTTCGCTCCTTCGGCTTGATCACGTTCTTGTAGCCGCTGATGTTGCTGCTGGCGGCCAGGGTGAGGCCCTCCCTCCCCGCCTGCCGTATCGCCTCAGCGCCAGCGGCAGTGGGAGCAGGGCGGGGCTGCAGCAGCTTGGCGGCGTCGGCGCGGCCGTACTCTGAGCGAGCGTAGGCGGTGGCCGCCTCTTCGGCGGTGGCGAAGTAGCCGAGGGACTTGCTTGCCGCCATCCGGCACCTGCAACTGCGCGTGGAACTTCTTCTCGCTGCGGCTGTAGCTCACGTTCTTGTAGCCAGTCGTGTTCCTCTTGTTGATGGCTGGGATCAGCACGAGGCGCTCGGAAGCCGGTGGCTTGATGAGCGGGGGGCGCCATGGCCCGTTAAAAAGAATTGTGCCGTGTTTAGAGAGAGAGAGATATAAAAACGAATTGCGGTTTTCGGATCGTACTCGTCGATAACAAAACAATAGCTCCCCCGGTATTTGTGCCGCGTCCCGTGCCCCCGAGTTCATTTTGTAATTGAAATCCCCCGGTAGAAAGAAAGAAAGAAAGAAAACAGACAACCCAAGGGAGGGATCGGGAGAACGGCACGCCGTCACCACACAGGGATTTTAAGGAGAGGAGTGTGATGCGCTAGCCGTCGCCCACCCTGGGGAGTCTGCTTCTTCGTATCTCTTTTCGCAGTCTCTCGCCGCTTCTCGCTGCAACCTTCATGCCACCTCGCGGCCGTCCCACTCTCGTCGTTCTCTCCCTTGTCACTTCCTCCTCTGTCGCGTCGTTCTCTTCTGCCTCGTCCTGCGGCGCCGCCGCCTGCCGGTCCCTTGATCTCGCGGCTTCTTTCGCCTTAGGCTGAATATACTTTTCCTCTCGCACCCCGTCTCTTTTCCTTTCCTTTTTTCTCTACAGCACCCTCTCTTTTCCTCTCTCTTTTCCCGGGGAAACCATCAAATTTTCCGGGCTCTGAGCCGAGACCCGAGTCTGAGGCTCGTTTGGGGCCGGCCCAAAATCAGCCAAATCTGCGAAATACCGGGTATTTGCGGGTATACCTGGAAACCCCCGGTATACCTGAAAAATACCCTGGTCCCTGCGACCGCCTGGGTATCGTGCCGATTTCCTCAATTTTGCCTCAGATTTTGCCCCAGACCAGCTCTCAGACTCAGGGAAACTCGCGAGTTTCCAGAATGGAGCACCAAACACCCTCTGTTTTCCCTGGAAATTTCCGGAAACGCAAAGTGCTGGGGACCCTCTGTTTTCCTTTTTGTTTGCCGCGGAAAAGTATATGCATGCCAACTTTCGCCTTTCGGCGCAACTCCGTCCTCCTCGTGGCGTATCCTGGCCCCTCAAGTCTATCGAGCTCCCCTCGCGCAAGTACCACATTTCTGACTCCCACTCCAATCCCCCGGTATTTATACTGGTAGGGAGGCGTAGTTTTTTTCACGCGGCGGGCGCCGCCGACGCCGCCGTGAAACGCACGTGTGCCGGACCAAAGTCGCGAAAGTGAGCAGACAGGAGGCCGCCTTATCACTCCCCGCTACAATGAATCGCCCGCCTGCGTGCTGCACTCGCATGCCTCCCGCCGGCGTCGCCACCTGCGCCGGAGGCCCGCGCGTGATCCCGCTCCTCTCGGACGCACGCTCCGGCTCCTCGGTCTTCATGAGCCTGATGTCCCCCGGCGGCAAGGTGTGGGCGCAGACGCGACGAACGCCGTGGATCGCAACCCGCCCACCCGCCCTGCCTCCGCATAGGACTCGCCTCACGTGCTTCCCCTTTTCGAGCTGTTCAACTATTTCTCGCACCTCAACATCCACTCCGCTCACCTCGCGGCGCGCGCGGTCTCGTTCTTCATCGAGCAGCTCGGCGCTGGCAGCAACCGCAGCGGCCACGAGCACAAAGGCGTCACGGCCGAGCTGCAGCGCCTTCTTCGTCAAAAGCCTGCGCGGGCTGTCGGCATTGCGGAGCAGCTCGGCCGCGCGCTGGGCCGGCCTACCGTCACCTTCAAGATATTCGGACACCAGTGCCTCGACCTTTGGAAGCGGGCGGATAACACCGGCATCAGCCGCGCGAGGACCGATGGCTCGCTGTGGCTGCGGCGCAACTTTTTCCACCGGAGGGTGTGGCGCCCTGTGTCTCGGCCCTCAACGCTCCACCTCCTTGAATCCACTTGGGTGGCCCCACCTGCCACCCGTCAGGTCTCCGCGGCCAAGATCAGCGGCGGCTGCTCTGGCTTCGTCAACGCCGACTCGACCGACTGCAAGCTGAACCTGTCCATCCCGCACACGCTCGACCAGCTAGACAGGGACGTGGCGGGCGCCGCGTGCCTGCGCTGCCTCGCTCACGGCATCTGCCCACACGGGACAAGGCGGCGGCCGCCGGCGGTCGACATCGGCTACGACGAGTTCAATGCGCTGCCATCCGTGGAGGCCAAGGCAGACCTCGTGGTGGAGCGGCTCGCGCGCGTCGACTCGTGCTGCTGGGCGCGGCGCGGCGTCAGCGGCGTCCTTGCGAACGCGGCGACCCGGTACCACGTGCAGGACCGGAGCCCGACGCTGCGCGAAAAGATTGGAAACTACGCCGAGCTACAGGCCGCCTACGACGCCGCGCGGAGAGAGCGCGCGTGCGGTCAAGGCGCGGCGTTTTTCGCGGGCGGCGACGCGGCCTACGAGCAGAGCACGCGGGAGTGGTGCATGCGTGAGTCGGTCTATGACCTCCCGGAGTGAGGTTTAAGGCGTGCAGGGAGACGGAGACGGGTAGGGTGAGAATCTTTCCGCTGTTTTGCGTACATATGTAGCTCGCGACCGTACGGCTCTCTATAAAGCCGTAATGTGGCTGTGGCCTGTGCCTGAGTGTGGGCGTGGTCGCGCCGTGTTCGGGACCGACCCTCTGGTTTTAAACGGCGAAACAATACATGTATCCTCTGATGTTCGAGAGCAGACAGCAGCGAGCACGCCCCAAGACAGAAGAGTTCCGCGCCCACCTCCCTGATATAGATATATTTGCGACCGCGCCCGACGGCTCTTGCCAAGACGTCTTGCAGACGACCCCACAAACTGGCGGCCCGTCTCGGCCGCCCGCCGGACCGGCCGGTGGCGGTGGTGGCAGGCGCGGGTGATCCATGGCTAGGTAGCCGCCACCGCGGCCTGAATCTGCGGCGCCAAGTGTGTAAAGTGCGCGCTCAGCTCGCTCGCGACCTGCTGCAGCCTGACCGCCACTACCTCGCTCTCCGCCAGCTGCTGGCTGAGCTGCGCGGTCGGCTGGTACGACCCGTCCGCCGCCGCGCGCAGCTTGCCAACCAGCCGCTCGTGCTGCCGGAGGGGGAGTTCGAGCAGCCGCGCCTCGAGCTCCTGGTTTGCCACCGCCCGCTGCATCTCCCGTGCCGCCGCCTTTGCCTCCTCGCACGCGCGGTGAGCGCGGTCGACCTCCTCGCCGCGCGCCTGTTGCGCCGCCAGCAGCTTCTTGACCTCGAGCTGGGTCACGTTTGCCTCCTGCGTCGTCGCGCGCAGCTTCTTGCTCAGCTCGTCCACCTGCTTGCGCAGCGCCGCCTGCGTCGGCGGAGCGCCCTTGCGGCCCGCGGCAGTCTTCCCCTTGGCCTCGATGTTGTCGCGCTTGTACACATTGCGCTCCATGTCGGCCACCATCATCTCTTGCCGCCGCTGCAGCTGCGAGTAGCGCAGCTGCATCCGGTGGATCTCGCGCTGCATCGCGCGCGTCTCGGACGCGCCAACCGTCGGGTCGAGCGCCGCCCGCGTCTCACGCTGAAGAGCAATCTTCTCCTCGATGAGGCGCGCCTGCTTCTCCGCCTCGGTCACGTCGAGCAGGTACTGCTCCTTCTCCTCCTTGAGTGAGATGATCCTCGCCTCTAGCTCGAGCGCCTCCACCTCGCACTCCTTGAGCCGCTGCTTGAAGCCGGCCTCCATCGCATAGTTCTCCTCAGCAAGCGCCGACTGCTTGCCCTCGAACTCCGCTGCCGCGCGGTTCACCTTGCTCATCTCGAGCCGCTGGCTCTCCGAGGCGCGCTCAACCGCCTTGCGCTCCTTGCGCTCGCCCTCCAGCTCCGCGGCGAATCGCAGCTGCTTCTGCCTCAGGATCGCAAGCCGGCTGCGCTGCTCGTGCATCGCGTCCGCCACTCCGCCATTGGACGTCTCGACCGCCACCAGCTCGGCCTGCTTCTGCACCCACCGCTGCTGCGTCTGGGCGCAATCGGCCGCCTTAGCACCGATCTCCTTTTTCAGGCTGGCGATGGTCGCCTCGAGCGGCCCCGCGTCCTCGTCGAGCCCCGCCACACCGGCCCGCTTCTCCATCAGCGCCTCGAACTTGCGGTTCAGCCCGTCGAGCTCGTGCTGCTTCTTCTCCACCTCGACCTCCCGCCGGCGCGACTCCACCTCGTACTGCCGCGCCACGCCATCCGCCTCCTCGAGCTCCTCGTTCAGCTCCGCCAGCTGCGACTCGAGCTGCGCCGAGTGCGACCGCACGTTGAGGCCGTCCACTTTAAGCCGCGCCAGCTCGTTCCGCAGCTGCGCCTCGGCCGTCTCGCTCTCGTCGATCTTCTGGCGGACCTTCTTGGCCTCCTGCATCGCGTGGTGCGTCCCGCGCTCCAGCGCCACCTTTTCGCCCACGCTGCTCAGCACCGACTCCTCGAGCCTGCGCGCCGCCTGCTGCACCTTTTGCACCTGGCCCTCCACGGCCGCAACCTCCCTCTGCCTCTGCGCAAAATCAGCGCCTTCGCGCGCGATCTCCGCCTCCGTTTGCTCGAGCGACTTGTGGATGAGCGCGACCCTCTCCTCGGCCGCCGCCCGCTTCTCTCGGCCGGCCTCGATCTGCGCCTCCACGCCGCGCAGCTCCGCCCCGAGCTTGTTGGACGTGGAAGTGAGTTGCTCATGGCCCTCCTCCTCCGCAAGCACCGCCTTGCGCAGCCCGGCCGACTGCGCCTCCAGCGTCCTCCGCTGCTCGCCTTGCTTCCGGATCGCCTCCTCCGCCGCCTGCAGCGCCTCGTCCCGCTTCTCGAGCCCGACCAGCGACGTCTTCCACTGCGCCTGCAGCTGCCGCTTCTCGAACCGGATCGCCTCCATCTCCTCCGACGCGGCGCGCAAGGTCGACTGGGCGCCCTCGGACTCCTTGCGCTGCGAGGTGATCTGCGCCTCGGTGAGCGACAGCTGCTCCTGCTCCCGCTTGAGCCGCTCCGACAGTGCGTCAATGAGGTGGTCCTGCGAGCGCTTGTCGCCTTCGAGCTTCGAGACCGCCTCCTCGGCCTTGTACGTCGCACGGCGCGTCACCGCTATCTCGGAGCGCATCTGCTCGTTGAAGGCCTCGACCTGGCGGATCGTCGCCGCCAGCTGGTCCAGCTCCGACTGGTACTTCTCGTACCGCCCGCGCAGCTCCTTGGACTCGCCGAGCGCCTCGCCATACGCGCCCCGCACGCGGCCGAGCTCCGCCTCCGCCTCCTCGCGCTGTTGGTGGACGAGGGCACCGTTGTCGTGCGCCTTCTCCAGACCCATCTGCAGCTTGGCCAGCTGCTGCTGCGCCTGGTACAGCTTGACGCCCACGTCCTCCCGCTTCCGCACCTGCCGCGCCAACTCCTCACGCTGGTCCTGCAGCCTCTGCACCTTGACCTCGCGCGCCTTGCTCATCTGGCGCCGCAGCGCCTCCTGCACGCGCGCCAGCATAGGGTGGTCCGGATCGAGCATCGGCTCGCCGCCGGAGTCGTCCACCATCTGTGCGAAGAGACCCGCCCGCTTTGCACCAGGAAACGGCCAGCGCTGGCCGTTTTTTTTGAGCTCTCGAGGTGGGTGGGAGAGGTGTGACGCGATCCACGCAGGCGTGTTTTCTGACGGCCGGCCGTCAGTGCACGGAGTTGCCCCTTCTCCGACTGCCCCGGCTAGTTCCCGCCTTCGTTGTTAATAATGTGAGTGTGTGAGAGAGACACCGCCGTTCTCAAGCTGCGCCGCCTCGCGCGCAAACAAAGTCGCGCGCGGCAGCGTTGACCGCACGGCCTACTCGCCCAAGTACTCGCTCTCTTTTATGTCCCACCATGCAGAGCGCATCTCTCTCTCTGTTGTGCGAGGCGTGAACCGCGCCATTCGCTCTCACCTGGCAACCCTGTCTGCACGTCTCGCGCGCGCGTGAACAGGGCTCCAGGCCCCAAATTACGTGTGAGTGTTAGAGTGTGTGTGTGTGTGTGTGAGATTTTTATTAACCAACAAGAAATCACGACTCATGAGAGAGAGAGACTTGTTTGTCGACTCATGTGTGTGTGTGTGGGCGCGAGAATAGCTCCGCCGTTCATGGAGGCAACCGATGCGAGTCGACTGGTGTGTGTCGTCGTGGTTTCGTATCAAGAATACTCACTCACTCACTCACACGTTGTGGGACTGGGACGGTGAGTGTCCCACGGCCACGCCTACGTTAGCTCTCAATCTCCGGACTGTCGGCCATTCTTTGTTTCTGATTCTGATGTTCTCATCCCACATCCGCCCGTCGCTCTGCTCCACCATTGATTGCGATTCCTGCTCTCCTTGTTACACACTGCAATCGACACTCGCACATGCTGTACACCCCCTAAAGCCGTAAGCAGCGGCATATAGACCTAGCCCGGCTCGCCACATCCTAGTCAAGCGCCCGTTGGCGCACCTCCCGCACGAGATCATTCACCCCTCCCCCCCTGGGTCACGTCAATGGTGCATCCCCGCGCCCCCGCACCGCTGCGCCGCTGCGCCGGAAGAGTCCGCCTCGCCTCGCTCCCCCCTTTTCCCTGGCTGCGCGGCGTCAGGTATTTCTGATCGCGCGGCGTAACGTACTAGGCCAGCTCTCCCTCGCGGAGATTGAGCTCGCCCGTTGGCGAGGCGCGCGGGAGGGTCGACGACCTTGGCGCATCACACGCTCCGACGACCATGCACGGCCATCGGAGGCGCCACGTCGGCGGCAGCTGTCGGTCTCGGTGCGGGGCCGCTGCCTCGAACGACGGTGGCAAAGGAGGGCGGGTCGATGCCCCGAGCAGTGTCAATGGCAAGCGCCGAGACGACCGCGATGTCCTTGGCAACGTCTTCGGTCGGAACCGCTGCCGTGCGGCGGCGCTCCGCAACGCGTCCATTGGGCGTGTGCGAAACGCCCTCACTTGCTTGGACATTCCGGCGGCGGCGCCAGACGCAGAGCGCGCCGATCGCAAGAAACGCTGAGGCCGCAGAAGCGGCGGCGATCGCCACGGCCCCCGTGGCCATGCGAGACGACGAAGCGCTTGGGCCGTTCGACGACAAGAAGACTTCGCCATTCCCAGCCGGGCCCGCGGGCGAACTTGGTGCCGGCGATGGTGGCGGCGATGGCGACGGAGGAGGCGCCGGCGACGGCGCCGGCGCCGGCGACGGTGGCGGCGATGGCGACGGTGGCGGCGATGGCGACGGTGGCGGCGATGGCGACGGAGGAGGCGGCGATGGCGACGGAGGAGGCGATGGCGACGGAGGAGGCGCCGGCGACGGAGGAGGCGCCGGCGACGGAGGAGGCGCCGGCGACGGAGGAGGCGCCGGCGACGGAGGAGGCGAAGGTAGTGGCGGCGACAGAGGCGGGGCCGGCGGGCCAGGCGGAAGGGACCACACTTGGAAGCTTCCTGGCGCAGCGCCTGCCGCCCTCTCGAGCGCTGCGGGGTAGTCTGGAGCGCTGACGGTTGCGAGGAGCAGCGCGCCTTGCTCCTCGGTAACGAACGTGAGCGCGATGGTGATGTTGGTCCAGCCGGGCGAGGTCTCGGGCGGTGTGATGCCGGTGAGCGTAAGCGTGTGCACCATGTCAGGAGCCGTCGCCGCCACGATCGCCGCGTAGATCGTTGACAGCTCGCCATCGAGCGCCACGGCGTCGGCGAGCTGGCGCCGGGACGGAACCTTTGGCAGAGGCGTCATGACGCCAACCTCAACGCGAAGCGTGGTCACGGGTGGGAGCGCCGGCGCCGGTGGCGGGAGCGGCGCCGGTGGAGACGGGTCTGGCGGAGACGGTGGTGGTAACGGCGGCGGAGGCGACGGCGGTGGTGGCGGCGGCGACGGCTGCTGGGACGGAGGCGGCGGGGCGGGCGAAGGCGGAAGGCGTGGGGCCGGCGGCGGCGCGGGGCTCGTAAGACTCTCGCAGAGGAAAGGGAGAACTGCCGACGCGACGTCCGCCGCGCTTGCCTCGACAAAGGCATGCTCCTCTAGCGGACGCGAGGCCATCGCGCCCAGGACATTCGCGTCGGCCTCGCCAAAGCCGGCGGCGACGACGAGGTAGCCGGCGGCCTTGAGCTGGCCAGCCTGTGCGATGGCCTGCTCGTCGCCGCCATAGTCGGGCTGGTTGGACCCGTCGGTGAGCATGACGACTGCGCCGCGCCTCGGGTTGCCCGTCGCCTCGTTCTGCGCCTCGCGGGCCAGGTCTAGGGAGTCCTTGGCCAGCGCGAGCGCGTCCACCATGTTGGTGCCGCCGGAGGACGTCGCCGAGAGGCAGTAGCGAGAACCGCAGTCTTCGCAGTCCCGGCCAAGGCCGCACACGGAGAAGCTTGACCCGCTGCCGCCATCGTCGCATTGGCCATCGTGGGCATGCCAGCAGGTGTCGTCGCACCCGACGTCGCACTGCGGGTCGTACGACTCGATCTCGCTGAGCAGCTCGACCTCGCTCGAGCCGAGAGGCGCGACGACAGCGGCGGTGTCGGAGAAGTAGATGAGCCCGATTTGCGCCGCGTCGGGGCCGACGAGGAAGTGATTGACGAGGGAGCCGGCGAAGCTGCGGACTGCGGCTTCGGTGCCCGCAGGCGAAGCCGGCCACGAGTCGGCCATCGATGCCGAGCGGTCGAGGATGAGCACCAGGTCGAGCGGCGCGTCGCACATTGGCGGCGGTGGCGAGAGCGGGCCGGGCGAGGGAGGGGGTGGTGGCGGTGCTGGGTCAGGCGAGGGCGGCGGCGGCGGCGGCGGAGACGGTGGTGGAAATGGCGGCGGCGGCGGTGGCGGTGGTGGCGACGCCGGCGACGGTGGTGGTGGGCCGGGCGAGGGCGGCAGCGGGGTCGGCGACGTTGGTGGTGGGCCGGGCGAAGGCGGCGGTGGCGACGGCGGAGCCGGCGACGGTGGTGGTGAAGGAGGGTGCATCCACTGCGTGCTGACGACCACCGATTCTCCAGGGCCGCCACCGAGCGGGATCGACGTGGGCGTGGGAGTGACGTCCGTGAGGCGTACAGTGGCGACGCCGGAGAAGTCGTCCGAGGAGGACGAGTCGTCGTCCCACAAGTAGAATCCGGCAAAGTCACCGACCTGTGGAGGCCAGGGCGGGGCGGATAAGAAGCGCAAGCCGTGCGGCGTCGGAGGGCCATCCCAGTGGCTCGGTCGGACAATCGCTACGGGCGCACGTTCGCGTTGAATTCACAGCAGAAGGGCGGAGACCAGCGCGGCGTGCGGTCGTTCGAGATCGTGCTGGAACGGCAATGCTCGTAGCAGACGCCTCCGCTGCAGCGCTTGACGATGACGTAGGAGTCAGGCCAGCTAAACCAATCCTCCCAGGCGCCGAGCGACGCAGAGTGGACGCAGGCCTTCAGCATGGCTGGTGGTTGCGGACGACGCCCGTTGGGCGGTGCCGAGAGACAAACCGATCGCCACGAAACCAGGCTGCTCGAACAACCCGCCGGATTGTTGCGGCCATTCCGAGCAATGAAGAACTCAAAGCAGCACGACACTGGGCACGGGACTGGCGCATTAGTATAACAGTGTACGAGAATTAGTTCAACTGTGAACGGGGATATGTGCGGGGCTCAGTCCGGCTTGCCTTCTGCCCTGTTTGTCGGCCCTTGCGAGACGCTCTTTCTGAGGCCCAGCCTGCAGATCCTTCTTGATGTCGTCGAGACGGCGGCGTGGTGCGATGGACGACCACGAGGAAGAGGAGGGGGAGGACGATGAAGACGAGGAGGAGACCGTCTCCTTCGATGGAGCCGTCGAAGCGTGGAACATGGACGGAAGCTCGGACGCTCAAGCTGAGAGCGGATCATGGCTCCGAGACGCGGAGGAAGCGACCGGGCGAAGGCGAGGGCGGTGCTCGTTCCACGGCTGCCCCAACCAGGCCGAGGTGGGCGGCCACGTGTGGATTAGAGGCGAGGGTTGCTTCATCGCGCCCATATGTAGGCCTTGCAATCGGCACGACAACCCTGAAAGGATGCAGGGCGCGGGTGCCTGCCTTCGCGCGAACATCGTGGTGACGAAGACCGCGATGACGGAAGGGATGCGGAACGCTGAGCGCAGGATCGCGGTCGGTGGCGGCGGTGGCGGCGACGGCGGCGGCGGCGGTGGCGGACGCAGCGGCGGCGGACGCAGTGGAGGCGGACGCAGCGGATGCGGACGCGGACGTCGGTGCGATTCCTGCGACGACGATATCTCTGACAGGCCAGCAAACCATTCGTTGTGTTATCAGTGTTGGTCTGGTGGCAGTGGCGGCGGCGGACGTAGTGGCGGCGGCGCGCGCGGACGACGGTGCGAGTCGTGCAGCTACGACATCTCTGACAGGCCAGCCAGCCACCGGTTATGTATTGACTGTTGGTCCGGCGGCGGACGCAACGGCGGCGATGGGCGAGGTGGGCGCAGGGGAGGCCGCACTTGCGATGATTGCGGCGTCAGCATCGCTTACGCCCCAGCCACGCACAGGTTCTGCCGAGATTGCTTTTAGCTCCGCTGTGTGTGCACATTCTGTATACCTGTGCACACACAGCACATTCTGCTGGAAAAGCCTGCTCGTGTACAATCGTCCCAGTCTCTCCGTTCTCCGTTCGTCCTCCTTTTCCCGTGCTCAGATGAGGCCAAGGGAGGGATGGGAGGACGGCACGCCGCCACCACACAGGGATTTTAAGGAGAGGTGTGTGATGCGCTAGCCGTCGCCCACAATATACCTAAAACCCTAGGGAGCAACCCGTGCTCAGTGTCGTGCGGTCGAGCCGTGTTTTTATCTTTCGCCCAGGCACTCTCAGAACACCGTCGGCAATGGAGCCGCGAGGCTCTGCTGCACTCTCCGACACGCCGTACACGCTCTTCGCCAGCAGCAGTGACGGCCGCCGGGCCGGTAGCTGGCCGTACCTCTGCACACTCCTCGCTGTGCTCCTGGGCACCGGCGTGCACGCGTCCAAGGAGGCGCTCGTGCCGAGCGAGAAGTCGCTCGAGGCGCTCGGCCTCTCCCCGGTTTGCTATTCGGCGCTCACCATCACGCCCGTGGCTCTCGGTATCGTCACGCCTCTCGCGTGGGGGCGGCTGTGGGACACGAGGGCGGCGCTTGTCCTAGTTGGCGCTCCGCTCGGCGAACTGGTCGGCTCGGGCCTCACCGCCTGCGGGCTGCTCGCGCTCGGCGCCAGGAACAGCCCCGCCGCCGCCGCCGCCATACTCGCCGGCCTGGTCGCCTCGTCCGCCTGCCGCGCGGGCATCACGATCGCCGAGTTCTCGCTGGTCGGCCGCGTCTGCGGCAGGAACGCGGCGGCTGGCTTTGGCGCGCTGGTGGTCGCCAAGCACGGAATGGGCTCGCTGATGTCGTGGGCAGTTCCCATTTTGCTCGGCGAAGGCGCGCTGAGAGCCCCAGATTGCCACTCCCCTCGAGAGTACCCGGACACGTCCTCGAGAGTGACTGTTGCTTGGTACTGTGACTGTTGGTGGTGGTGTGAGGGGAGGGGCGTGAGCTGTGGTGTGTGCGGTGGTGTGTGCGGTGGTGGTGGTGGTGTGAGGGGAGGGGCGTGAGCGGTGGTGTGTGCGGTGGTGTGTGCGGTGGTGGTGGTGGTGTGAGGGGAGGGGCGTGAGCGTGGCCCGCCCTCCGAGACGGCGCTAGAGGCGGACATGTTCCTCTGTCAGGCGCGCTCGGCGTCGCGCCGTTGCTCTCCCTGCAGCTCCTCCTCCTCGCCCCCCACGCCATCGCCGTCTGCTCGGGCGCAGCTGTTGGACCCGCTGGCGTCTCCGCGCCTCTGCCTGATGGCTCAGCCTCCGATTCCTTCTCCCAGGCGCAGCCCTTTCCGTGTTGCACCGTCCGGCGGCGGGAGAGGGCGGCGGCGGCGATCTGCCTGAGGTGGACTCGACGCCGCGAGAAGGCAAGGTGCTCTGAGAGGGCGAACTCAGCTCCACGGCGAGATGTGTGAAGAGGCGCTGCTCACGCGCACCGCGCCTCGAAGGTGCTCTGCGCGGCGGGGCGAGAGTCCACGAGATTGCACGAGATTGCACGAGAGTACACGAGACTGCACGAGAGTACACGAGACTGCGCCTCGAAGGTGCTCTGCGGGGCGGGGCGAGGCCACGGCTCGCGCGACCCGGCTGCGGGCGGTGCTGCCGGCGCGGCCTCGCTGCTGCAGTCGCTGCAGCAGTCGCAACGGATGACGTCTTCACACCTCGAGCTGTGAACAGGCGAGTGGCTAGAGGGGGGGAGCGGCACGGCTGTGAACGGCGTCTCTTCACACCTCGAGCTGTGAACAGGCGAGTGGCTGGAGGGGCAGAGTGTCGCCGTACTCCTGATCGGGCTGTGGCGCGCGCTCGAGGTTGGGCACCTGTTCACGGCTCGAGGTGTGAAGAGACGCTGCTCACAGCAGCCGGTTGTGCTGCAGGTTGGGACGCTTCACGCATACCACTCCGTGCGCGCGCGCAGCTCGCGGCGAGCACCAAACGTCTCAGGGACGTACGGGTGAGGCGTGAATCCACGGTAGGTGCGCGTGCAGCTCGCGGCGAGCATGGGCAGTCTCTCGACCCGGAGCGCGGGCGCGCTCCTCGCTTCGAACGACCTCGTCGCCATCGCGCTACTGCCGCTGCTCGTCCTAGAAGCGGAACACGCAATCTCGTCACCTCACCCCCACCTCCCACGCCACCGCCTCCATCGCCGCCACCACCACCCCCCTCACCGCCGCCGACGCCGCCACCACCCTCGAGCCCCGTCCACACCGTTCACGGCTCGAGGTGTGCCATCGCGCTGCTGCCGCTGCTCGTCCTAGAAGCGGAATACGCCGTCTCGTCTTCCTAGTAGCGCTCGAGAGGACGCGTCTTCAACCGCATTCGGCCGTGTTCAACTGCGTTCGCTCATGTCGTAGCCCCTCGTATTCCGCGGTGATTGGCGATTCTTGCACAAGCTCACCGCAACCCGAGGGAGCCAAACAACAACAGACACTTATGGCTCTCTGATGCCCAATGCGTGCACTCGTCCCTCTCTCTGTATGTGTGGGTTCGTGTGTGCGGGGGCCCTCCTTGTCTCTGCCCAGGCAGTGTGAGGTAACACCTACCTACCTACCTACCTACCTAGGCTGCTCATGCTCTCCTCGCGCTCGCTCAACGGGCTGCGCGCGCTGCTGGTGGCGACGCCAGTGGCGAGCGCGGTCGCGGTGGCCGTGCTGCTGCTCAGGGCGCGAGATCTCTCCGAGATCCGCCGAGATCCACCGAGACTACACGATATGTGTGTCTCTTAGCGTCATCGCCGCGGAGCTGGAAGCAGCGCCGGGCGATGACGGCTTACCGCCCCCAGCCCCCCCCCCCATCGGCACAGCCCGGCCGCCAATGAGAGTGAGGCCCGTGCTGCTGCTGCAGGTGCGCAGCCACGGCAGCGTGCACGCCGAGCTCTTCGCGCTCTCCCTCCTCGAGGTTGGCGCTCCCGTGGTTCCGCTCGCGCTGCTGCCGCGCGCAAGCCGTCGGGCGGGCGGCGGTTTCGGCGGCCGAGATGGGGACACGGATCTCGGCCAATCTCGGCCAATGGATGGAGCATCTGATCACACACAGACAATCACAGGGGCAAACATGGGCGGCTGTGGGCGAGGGGAACGGAAGACTCTGAGAGGAGAGGGGAGGAGAGGAGAGAGGAGAAGAGGAGAGAGGAGGGGAGAGGAGAGGAGAGGAGAGGAGACTGGTGAGAGGAGAGGAGAGGAGAGGAGAGGGAGAGGGAGAGGAGGGGAGAGAAGCGGAGAGAGGAGAGGAGTGGAGTGAGAGGAGGGGAGAGGAGGGGAGAGGAGGGGAGAGGAGAGGAGAGCCAACGTCAGCTGTGGATGCTCTAGGGTACACACACACACACACACACACACACACACACACACACACACACACACCGCTCACCCACGCGCACCGGGCCTTGCACTTTAAATGCCGTGGGGCTCCTGTCGTTAGACGTGGAGACGCGAGGGTTGCCCCCCCTTGCCCCACCACCTCGTGTGTGTGGAGAAGTTTACCTTACCTTGCTCTAGGGTGGGTGCCAAGCGACCGACTGGGCACGGCATACGGCACAATCGAGACTCTCTTCATCCTCATGCAAATCACGATCACGATGCTGCTCGGGGTGCACGCTCCGTCGACTCGGAACGGCGGTACCAGTCACCGTTGACGGAGCAGTAGTTGTGAATTCGTCATAGGTGCTCCGCTCCGTCGATTCGGACGGTGACGGCATCCCCGACGCCGAGGACCCCGACGGAAAGTGGCGTTTCGTCGGGCCGCTGAGCCTGCTCGCGGGCGGTTTTGCCGGCGCGGCAGTGGTGTCGGTGCTCCTCCTCGAGCGAGTCGGCGGGGGGGCGGTTGTGCGGGGGAGCGACGCCGACCGCGGTTGCCAGCCGTGCTTGGCAATGATCGGCCGGACGCCCTCGTGTGGTGAGACTGAGAGTGGGGCAGCACGCGCGCGTATTTAGCGAGAGTAACGCGACCGGTCCCCTATCAGACAGTGTTATTTACGTACCAAGGTATGCAAAGAGTGAGAATGCAGACAGGGTCAGGGAGATAGGGTTAGGGACGATCGTGTCATGACACGCTGTGCCATGGAAGTCACCGAATGGAGGGCGAACGGCACGACACGAAAAGGCAGGGCGAGGCGGATGGAGAAAGAAGTGCCGAGGAGGCCATGGTGGAGGGGAGGGACGGGAGGACGAAAGAAGGGCGAGGAGGACGAGCGGCCCGCACAGCGAGGCCGCGAGCAGACAGCGCCTGCTGGCCATCTCGAGACATTCGCAAAGAACGCTAGCCACATGGGAGGGCTTCGTGAAGGATGGATTGAAAAACATTCGAACAAAGAAGAGGCGACGGGAGGAACCGGCAGAGGATGCAGTGACGTGACACACACACACACACACACACACACACACACACACACACACACACACACACACACACACACACACACACACACACACACACACATACACACGCACACGACACACACACACACCGCTCACCCACGCGCACCGGGCCTTGCACTTTGAATGCCGTGGGGCTCCTGTCGTTAGACGTGGAGACGCGAGGGTTGCCCCCCCTTGCCCCACCACCTCGCGTGTGTGTGGAGAAGTTTACCTTACCTTACCTTACCTTGTCTCCACAGCAGTCAGGCCCGCCCGGGGGAACGGCGGTTTGGGGATTTTTGGTGGTTGGGGTAAACACCTCACGAGACCGGGTGCGGGTCAGGCTCCACGCCCCACCACTCTACACGCTAGAACGCCTGGTTGCAGCTCGTTCGCCGCGGGGGCTCGTGCTTCCGCTCGTGATGAAGAGCTGAGCCACGTCCTGGTCTCGGCAACGCTGCCGCGGTCGATGTGGCGCCAGCAACACGGGTGGCGAGCGGGCGGCGGGCGGCGAGCCGCCTTCACCTCTCCAAGCCTGTGTGCTTGGCGGGGCGTACACGCCCGGGGAAGGGCGCCCGCGGCCAAACCCAACCGCGCGCGGCGCCGTCGGCGGCGATGACGGTCGAGCTACTCCCAGGGGCGCACTCGCCTCGAGGTCCGCGAGCTCGGCTTCGGCGTCCAAGGAGCTCCACCTCCGTCCAAAGGAGTGGTCCGTCACAGTCCAGGGCGCGATGTCAGCGGCCAAGGACTGATGCGTGTTCTGCACGTGCCACTCCGTCAGCGCCTCGAGCCTGTCACGCGCCGCCTCGGCATAGTCGTCGTTGACCATCTTGGCGCGTGCTGTGTGAGGCACGCGCACTGGCTGCGCGTCTCTCCTCCTCTCCCGCGCCCGCAGCCGAGGCAGCTGGGGAAGTGGGCTCTGCGGCAGGGGGCTCTGAGGCGAAGTCGCTGGGGAGACGCTCTCGTCGCTGTGAAGTACAGCGATCGCTACTCGAGTAACTCGCAAAACACTGGTGTTGCTAAAAATCTCTCTCTCTCTCCCAACTCGCTGGTCTCTCCGCAAGGCCTCTCCCCTCGACCGCGTCGAATCTCCACACACACACGCATGTTTTTCCTCATTTTTTACGTTGGGAACGGCGTTCTTTTGAAGCCGGCGGTCGGGTTCTCTCGACCGTCCTCGTCGGTGTCCTAGTCGATGGTAGTCTCGTCGCCTGCCAGAGCCACCTTCGGGCTCGGCCTCGTCTCAACGATCGCCGCCTTCGTGGCGTTCCATCTCACCGCTTCATACGGGCCGAGACATTCTGATCCGCGAGAAGGTCCGAGCGACGCGACATTCGCAGGCGCCGCTGCCCTCTTTGCCGTCTTCAGCGCAGTGCGGCTGCTCGTGCCGATCATCACTCCCACGCGCTCGCCCTTTCCTGTCGAGAGCACCCGCTCGGCGATGGACCTCGCGCTCGCTCGCATCCTCTTTCTGCTCATCTACGCGCAGAATGTGAGCTTCCGCAGCACGCCAGTGGCACTCACTGCAGGCAGCCATTCTATCAAGACAGGCCTGTGGGGCGACCTGGCGACCTGGCGCACAGAGTGGGTCGACGCTGCGTGGTGGGAGCCGCGTGCGATTCCACTGCTAGTGGCGTTTGCGATGGCCGGCGGCCCCTGCACCCAGCCTTGCTTCTTCCTTCTTGCCGTCCTCGAGGTTCGCTCGCACGTGCTTATGCAGACACACGAACCGGGGTACTTTGGGCACCATAATGGACACCTGTTCCCACCAGCGCTGCTGGTGTTTGCTTTTGCGCCAAGTGGCGACGCCCTCAACCTGTGCTCGTATTTGACCCGCGAGACAAGGCCACCCAGAGCGTCCCAGAGCGTCAAACGCCCAGAGTACACCGTCCCGTTCACCGCTCTTCTCTTGATCATCGCGAACGCCTACTTGTCCGCTGCTATACCAAAGCTCGTAAACTGCGGGGCTACGAGTACCTACACCTGGCCATTTAGCGCGACCTTTTGGTCGACTGGTATGATGAGCGACATCATTCGCACCGAATACTTCAGAAAATGCGATGGTTATGCCTGCCTCGACCCAAGCGCGGTCCGATGGAGGCCGCTCTGCCTTGACACACTGGGCGGCTTTGTCGCGTGGGCGTGGTCAAGCGTCTTTGGTGACGGCTCGGCCCCGCGCCCCGGTGTTCACGCCGCGTGCCTTCTTGGTGACTCGTACCTGAACCCCGCACTGCGTTTCGACCAGCTGCCCCCAATCATGCTCAGGGCGGCGGCCCTGAGCGCCGTCATTTGGGAAGCGGGAATGTGGCTCTGCGTCCTACACAAAGGCCCCCCACGCTGGCTCTCCGTGTGCACTGCCTTCCTGTTCCACCAAGGAAACCTCTGGATGACCAACATTCGATTCTACGACTTCGCCGACATGTACATTGTGTGGATGCCCTGGGCAGCGCTTCTAGGACTCATCCTCCGCGGTCGCACCGAAGCCAGCGACCACAACATCGCCGATGATGGCGAGCAGCGCACCAGCATGCTGGCTGGCGAAGAGGCTTCGGACTCCTTGGAAGCGGACTCGGGCAGGCCACAGCGATGGTCAAGCATGGCAAGCAGCAGAGGGAAGCGGTCGCAACTTTTGGTGGTGATATTCTCCATTGTGTGGGGCACTCTTCGCCTTCGGCCCGGTATCGCAGAAAGCGGCTCGTACCCGCTCGCAAGGTTCCCCGAATTTTGTCGGGCAAACTACCCCGTGGCGGGGGATGGCTCTTTCCTACGCGAGGTTCGCCTCCTCGCAGCAAGTGCAACACAGCCGCGCGAGTTTGCTCTCCTCGCACGGGTGCCCCTCTACAAACGGGTGGGGAAATTTCCAGCCCACCTCGGCTCTCCCTCGAAAGTGCACGCTGACAGGGAGGACGTTTGTGAAGAAGGTCACATGGAAAGTGCCGTTGGCCACCTTCTCCATGAGCTCCCCTCCCTCGGCTTGGCAAACTGGACGGCAGTCACGCATGCGCAGTTCGTCATCATGAGATTTGCCCTCGATAGCAGCTCGTCTTTGCGCTCCCAGCTCGACCGTAGCAAGAATGTGCGCCTCGTCATTCTGGTCGATCTGAATCTCGACAAGTTTCACTACTCCCGTCTGCCGCACTTACACGCTAAACCAGCATACCCCTCAACCTTTGCGGCCGACAGCGGGGGCCTTTTGCCACCTGCAGCGGCAGACTCACCTGCCTGGGTGCGTGCTTGCCCGCGCGAGAAAAAAACGCATTGGCGCACGTGTTCTGTTCGCAACGGAACAGATCCGGCGAAACCAGCAAAGGTCAAGCTGCAGAAGGTAAGCAAGTCGCTGCCATCGCGCGTGTGGCATGTGTGTGCCCCGCCCTGCCGACACACTTGTAACATGGCAATCTGAGGCGGTGCTGGACGCGCCGCTTTGTGGGGGACTAGCTGCCGCGCACAGGCCTGCACCGGCACCACCGTCGCCGACTTGGCCACGTCGTAGTGCGTGCCCGGGGGGGCGGGGGGGGGGGGGGGGGATACAGGGCGGAGATGTGGGGAGACCGTGGCTAAAGTGCTCGAGTTATATTTCTTTAACAAAGTGGGACCATGTGGAAGACGGCTAGTGCTAGTCCCCCATCGGGAGGACGACCCCGGCTAGTCGCCGACCACACCCACAAAGAACCCTGCACAAAGATCGCAAGGGCGGGGGCCTGTTCCTTTTTACCCATCTCACAGTAGAGAGGTGTCCGTTTTTATTTATTTATTTAACAAAGTGAGCTGGTTTGTAATTACGGTATACAAAGACCCGTACGGCAGTAAAAAGGACGTGTCTGCGGCGGCTCGAACGCGCTGCCGGTGCCGCGGGCGCGGCAATGGCCAATGGCAATGCCAATGCGCAATGGTCGGCTCTGGCGCGCCATCGACACAGCTCTGAACTGCGCCTCACCACTGACCGGCCAAGGCCGCCAAGTGGGCCAGCACCAGTCGCACATTGTGGCAGCAGTAAGCAGTGCATGTCTGATAGCTAGAGCAGCAGCGTCAGGATCGCAGGGTCGGATCGTGTCAAGCCTCTCGCCCGGCCGGCCGCGTGCAGACGTCGGCGCCTCGGCCTGTCTGCTGTCTGGAGAGTGGAGTGATTTTTCGGCGGTCAGTACGACCGATCAGGTTGGAGGTTTCTGATGATTGGAGGGTCTATCTGTATGTACTCCTCGAGATCTCTCCAAATCTGCCCTCTGAGCGACACTGAGCGCCGGAGCCCCGTTTCCGCACTGCGGCGCGGCGCACGGTGCCTCCGGCCCCCCCCGCGCCCCCCCAGAGTGCGTGCACAAGCTAGCGCACTTCTTCGACGTGGTGTCCGGGCGCACTTCTATTCATGAGCGAGTATCGCGCCCACCACGCCCTCAACTGGGTGCAGCTCTTGCTGCGGCGCGGCTTCGAGCTGGTGGCGGTCGAGCGCGCCGCGGCCAAAGATCCGCGCACAGCCCCAGGGCTCGTGTGGTGAGTGTGGGGTGTGCCTCAGGAGGCGGAGAGGCCGCGTGAACTCCCGTAGAAGCTCGCGAAGTGCGGATTTGGAGCGCCGCGCCGGACCTCCGCCGGGGCCCGCCGGGGCCACGGGAGAGGTCAGAAATCGTTTTGGGGGTTATACTACTACAAACCGGTCACGGTCCCGTCCAGTCTGGTCCCTTGGCCGGCCCTGCGCCGCTCGGCACCGCGCGGGGGTGCCGTTAAGCGACCCTACGGATTTGTTGTGGTCGATTTTGGCCAAAAACGTACGTAAGAGCTACATACACTGAAAACCCTGTCAGCAGAGTCCTCCTACGGGAATGTACGTAAGAGCCACATACACTGAGAGAGAGAGAGAGACCCCCTCTCTCTTTTCTCCCAGTAAGCTAAAAGTACGTACTGAAAAAGCCCAATGAGCAATGTTGATTCTTCGTGCCTATACGTAAAACCCACCCAAAGAGTGGTGGTCGGGCGGGAGACAACGGTCGTTGCGCGGTGGCCTGGGCGTTGACGGAAGTAGCCGGCGGCGCCAGGACTCCGGCAGAAGCTGCAGGCCTGGGTTTGTGCGGGCCTGGGTGTGTGCGGCGCGGGGCGCGTGCGCGACGAGGGGGGGCGAGAGTGCCGCGCGTTGCTGCGTGCGCTCGCCGATCGGCTTGTCCCTCCCGCGCGCGCTCGTGCTTCTCGCCTGCATGGTGGGACTTCAGGCCGATGTACCACCGGTACTTCTGCAGTTCGGCCAGATACGCACCGCCTCCACATTGCAGTTCCAGGCGTTGTGCGTTGTGCTCATGCTGATAGACCCCCAGCGGGCCGACGAGGTCAGGTGCGAGTACCTCGCGTACAACGGTGGCTGCTCGTCGAATAAAGCAGGACCGACGCTGCTCAACGTCACTGCTCACCGTGCACGAGCTCTCTTCAAGACGCACCACCCGCGGTGCCCGCGGCAGATATCAGAGCTTGCGAAGGCCAAGCATCTTGCGCGGCCATGGATCTTCGCCTCAGCCGCCAATAGTAGTTCGCTCGGCAGTGAAGGCAGCTTCGACGTTGCCGGCACGACACAGGCCGTCGAGTCGCAGCTTCGAGCGCGCGTCGAGTACGTTCAGCTCTCGAGTATGCTCGCATGGCGGGGGGTCGGCCTGCTCACGGACCTCCAGCCCATATTTCGGCTGTCGAATGCTCAGTTGAGTCACTTGCTTGAGTACATGCGGCTCTACTCGCTGCTGCGGCAATGCTGCGGACCGGAGGCGTCCAAAACCTGGAGGGCAATCCTCCTAGGGGCGCTCACTACACGGTCAGCGCCACATGGGGCAACGCCGCACCTCTGCTCTGTGTACAATCTCGACGCGCTCGAGGCCGCGCTCCTCCACACGCACATCCACGAGCAGTTTGGGCATACCCGCCCCATCCGGGCGCCTCACGAAATAGGCGAGCTAAATGGAACGCTTTGCTCAAGGAGCAACCGAGCCATGCAGCAGCACTGCAGCTTGCCGAAACGGGAGCGGATGAGAACCAACCTGTCAGTGCGAGATCAGCGGGCTTGCGTGTAATGTGTCATCATTTATCACAGCGGAGAACACGGGTGTGCCGCGGCGCGACGCGCGTTGCGAGGCCCGCTATACTGCGAATTGCTAGCTATACTGCGAATTGCTAGCATGGATGGTCAGAACAGGATAAAACTCAGAACCTAGACGAGGTAGCCTTCTACGGATACAGCATGCTGCGGTACGGCAGGCAACGAGGCAACTCACCAACGTACGTACCCCAAGTCGCAAGCGTACAATCCCCTCTGCTCCGCCGCCCCCTCTCACACATGGTCCACGTTCAGCGCGTGGGAGCGCCCCTTGACCTCCTCGGCGGCGGCGCGCCGGGCGGCGGAGGCGGCGGCGGACGAGGAGCCCTCGATCTCGCTGAGCACGAAGGAGGCGGGTGGTCGCGCGACGACGAGACCGAGCGGAACGACGGCGGCCCGGGCCCGTCGGAGTCGTCGGCGTCGTCGGCGTCGTCGGCGTCGTCGGCGTCGTCGGCGTCGCCCAGCGACACCTCCACGGACACCGCCGGCTTGGCGCGTCGGCGGCGGCGGCGGCGGCGGCGGCGCGCCGAGGCGAAGGAGCAGGCGACTCTCGAGAGCAGCAGCGCGCCCAGCACGGCGCCGCCCGCGACGGGCGCGATCTCGACCAGGCCGAGGGCGTCGGCCGAGCCGGGCCCGCGCTGGGCGCCGCCCGCCTCGAGCTCGTCGTCATCAGCGGGTGCAAGTCGGTAGAGTTCGGCGAGGCGCTCGCGCGCAACGGCGTCGGCGCCGTCGTGGGCTGGGAGACCAAGGTCGGCGGCGAGTCCGCGCGCCTCTTTGCAGGTCCGCCGAGCCTCTTCGCGCGCCCCGCACGCACGGCCCACACACAAGCACGCGTGCCTCCTCAACTCTTGACTCGCGGCGTTGCGCCTGCGCAGATGGCTTCTGGGAGGCGTACCAGCAGGGCGGCACCGTGCGTGAATCTTTCGAGCAGGCCAAGGCGGCTGTCTCCGGCACCGAAGTCGGCGGCGCGCCCAAGTTTGAGTTTGCCAACCCCAACTTTGCCGATGAGGCGGGGGGCGGCTTCCGAGCGGCCGCGTTGCCGCCGGCGTGCCGGTGCTGCTCGCATCGCTGCCGCCCGAGTGCTTCTACGGCGACGTCTTCCCGCTGTCGCTGCCGGCGCCGTACCTGCGGCGGCCAGACCTGGAGATGCATCCTCCCGCCCCGCCTCCCGCGCGAGAAGGAGCGAGGCCTCCTCTCGTCGCGCCGCTCCTCGCGCCTCGCCCACGAGCGAGAGCGAGAGAGCGAGAGCGAGGGGGAGGGCGAGAGCGAGAGCGAGGGGGAGAGCGGGAGCGAGGGGGAGAGCGGGAGCGGGAGAGAGAGAACGAGAGTAGCGAGGGCGAGAGCGAGAGAGAGAATGGCGGTCGGCGCTGCGCCCATCATCGCCGCCCTCGCCTCCTCCACCCCCTCGCCACCCCTCTCGCCACCCCCCTCGCCACCCCCCTCGCCGCCGCCGCCGCCCTCGCCGCCGCCGCCGCCGCCGCCCCGCTTGGGGCTTGTCGCTCTGCAGCAGCTGCTGCGCCGCGGAGCCATGCATCGCACTTCCGAGCCTAACCTCGGGTCATCTCGGGTGATCTCGGGTGATCTCGCGGCGGACCCGCGCGTCGCAACTCCCGCGCCGGGCGAGGCTCTCGAGGTAGCTGCCCATCGCCGGTGCGGGCATCGTGCTCGGCGCCTGATGGGAATTCATTGACTAACCTCTGATTAGAGGACCAACATCGCGTTGGGTGTGGGCAGCGTTGGGCCTGCACCTCTTGCCCTGCCGGATCCGGTCGGCCACCACGTCCGGGTGGGTTGGCGGCAGGTGGCGGTAGCGGCACGTCTCGCCTGATCACTTCTTGGCGCACGCGTCAGACGTGATGACTCATGAGGCGGGTGGCGGTAGCAGCACGCGTCTCGCCGCGCTGCAGCCGCGCGCACGCGCCGCGATTGATGAAGTCAAAGCAGAGCAGGTGGCCTGGCGGTCGATCCACTCTTCCAGTTAATGTACTAGTGACGAAGGCCGCGGCTGGTGGAGTCAAAGCAGAGCTGGTCGCCTGCTCAAGACCGCTGTCTGTCGTCTTCTCGAGACACACTGCGGGTGCGGACTGAAGCCGAAGCACAAGGTGGGTAGGCCCGGCCCGGGGTCGGCGAGGGTCGTGGCCGCCGCTGTCGCCGCCTCGGCGGCTGCAGGTGCAGCTGCGGCGAAGAGAGGGGCGGAGGACGCCGTCACGCGTCAGCGCCGCCTGGATCTGCGCCGAACCTCCTCCTCCTCCTCCTCCTCCTCCGCCAAGTGGCCCCCGAGTGGTTTTAATTTTTCAACGAAGCACGATTCGATATTGTGCGAAGAGTGAAGTACTGACCATGTGTATACACCGAACAGCGCGGTGGGAGCGTAACCGAATGAGAGAGAGATGCGGTCTGTCTCCCGCCGGGGCCTCATGCGGACGATCCAGTTGGGAGCGGGGCGGGAGACCGGAGGCAGGAGGCCGGGGGGACAGGAGAAGCGTACTGTCGTCGCGCGCAGCGGCGGGGCGGGAGCTCGAGCTATCGTCGCTTGAAGAGACTCGGTATGCCCTTCTGTGCTGCTGTCTGCAGCTCGGCCTCGACCGCCGCGACGTCGTCCTCGAGGGCGGCCTCCACCTGCAAGGAGAGTTCCTCCGAGCGGTCCAGAAGTGCATCCTCGCACCCGCTTCGCGTCGCGGACAATCTCGGGTCATCTCGGGTCATCTCGGGTCATCTCGGGTCATCTCGGGCCATCTCGGGTCATCTCGGGCCATCTCGGGCCATCTCGGGTCATCTCGGGTCATCTCGGTGCCATCTCGGGCCATCTCGGGCCATCTCGGCATGTCGCACCCGCTTCGCGTCTCGGACAATCTCGCGCTCAATCCCGACCACGTCCTTGACGAGCTCCTTCTCGAGCCCGACGACGTCGTCGACGAGAAGCTTCTCGAAGGTGGAGAACCCGCCCGCCACCTCCGACGAGGTACAGCCGAGATGTGGCCGAGATAGAGAATCGCCGAAGTGTGAGCCGAGATGTGGCCGAGATATGGCCGAGAATCGCCGAAGTTGAGAGCCGAGATGTGGCCGAACCACAGCCGAGATGTGGCCGATCGGTGTCGCCGGGAGATCGCCGAGATGCAGCCGAACCGCCGAGGTGCGGCCGAGCTCGCCACCTTGGACTCGACGAGCACAAAATCGGCCTCGAGCTCCTCGAGTCTGCTCTCCGCAGCGTTACACGAGTTGTCCGTCTCGGTAAAGTCGGCCCAGCGCAGGCCAACCTAGCCAGCAGGGGTGTGAGACTGTGTGAATTCGCGGAGCGAAGAAAATGTTAACCGGAATACGTCCATTTTGGGGCCTCGTTTGGAATACGTATTCCGGATTACGTGTGGAATACGGCCTAAAACTGCAATTTTATACGGAATACGGCCCTTTTGGAGGTCATTTGGAATACGTGGAATACGTATTCACACAGTAGGGCCCTGAGAGCGCATCCTAGACTCTGTCTCGGTCGATTCGGGCGCACGCAGACCTCTTATGAGCGTGTGCAGATTCTGCTACTTGCCGTGTCCTATTGCACCCGAGATGACCCGAGATGACCCGAGACTGCCCGATACTATACCACACCGCCCACGACCCCCACACTGGGTTCGGTACTCTGGAGGTATGGTACGTAAGCCTGCCCGCCACGACTGCACACCTTGTCGAGCGCCGCGCTGATCTCCGGCACGTACTCCTGCCGCAGCTTCGGCTCGCGCCTAACACGCCCAGCGCAGCTCGGCTCATCTCGGCTGATACCTCCGGCGCGTCCTCTCGGCGCGGCTTCGGCTTCGCGCGCGTGTAGATGACTGCGCCGCCGTAGCCGTCCCACGCGTCGTTGCTGCCGCGGTAGTAGACCACCACGTAGCCGCCCTTGCCTAATCGTGGATGCAAAACTGCGTCACCGACGCGGTCATGGTAGACTCGCGGCGTCGCCGCCCTCGCCCTTTGCGTCGTCGTAGGCGCGTCGGTTCGCGAGCACGTACCTCGCGAGCCGAGATCACACGAGATCGCCCGGGATGGGGCCGTGCGTGCGTGCGCGCGCGTGTGCGGCGCGGTGTGCGGCGCGCGGTGTGTCTGTCTCAGCGTCTGTCACCAGTCATCTTGGTAGTGCAGGAACTCGTTGTCGTGGTTGTACAGGATGCCTACGCGACAAGTCTCAAGCGCGTGACGGACACTTCCGCAGGGGCCGCGTGCTGGAACCGCGGCTGTGCAGGACACCGGGGCGGCTGGCGTCCTGCTTGAAGGTCTGCACCGTGTACCGCGTCACAAAGTTCGTCCCCGCCACCGGGTCCTTGATCCGCCTATGCGTGTCTCGGACATGTCCTGGGCGTGTCCTGGCCATGCCCCGCCACCGGGTCCTTGATCCGCCTATGGACGTGTCTCGGACATGTCCTGGGCGTGTCCTGGCCATGCCCCGCCACCGGGTCCTTGATCCGCCACTGCAGATTCCCGACGAGCAGGTCGGGCGCCGGCGCGCTGAATCGGTGCAGCTGGCAGTCGAAGATGTCGAAGGCCTGACGATGAATCAATTGATGAAGCCATCGATTGAGCCTCAGCTGGCATGCTGCCGCCGCCGCCGCCGCCGCCGCTGCTACGACTACTGCTGCTGCTGCTGCTGCTACGACTGCTGCTACTGCTGCTGCTGCTGCTGCTGCTGCTGCTGCTACGACTGCTGCTACGACTGCTGCTACGGCTGTTGCGGCGGCTGCTGCTGCGGCGGCGGCCGCTGCTGCCGCCGCTGCTGCTGCCGCTGCTGCTGCCGCTGCTGCTGCCGCTGCTGCTGCCGCTGCTGCTGCCGCTGCTGCTGCCGCTGCTGCTGCCGCTGCTGCTGCCGCTGCTGCTGCCGCTGCTGCTGCCGCTGCTGCTGCCGCTGCTGCTGCCGCTGCTGCTGCCGCTGCTGCTGCTGCTGCTGCTGCTGCCGCTGCTATTCCAGAGTACACAGACACCTTGTTGAGTCCAGCGGAGATGTACCAGTCGCCGTCGAGGTCAGAGGCGGAGAATTTGGTCACGAGCGTGCTGTCCGCCGGCACCGGCCACGACCCGTCGTCCTGCCGCTGCGGCACGCACTTCTGTTCCGTGACGGCCGCCTTTGTGAAGGCCTCAGTGACGCCGTTCGCAAACTTGTCGCCGCACGCAATCTGGCACGTGGCCTCATCCGGCCGGTTGGTGCAGGTCTGGATGCAGGCGAGGTTGGCCAAGCAGGTTGGGTCCGTCACGCACCGCGCAAGCGCGCCGGGCGCCTTCTGTATGAGGCAGGACCCGATCGCAGCGCCGTCAGTGGCAGCAATGGCAGGCGGCGCGACAAACGCCGGCGCAGCAGTCAGCAGAGCGGCCGCAATCACGCCCGCCGCGTGTCTGCGTGCGCCTTCCAGCGCTGAACCGCCGGCGCGCTGCGGCGCGAGAGAGAGCTTCACCATGGTGCTGCTTGGCGAAAACACTAAGCCGGCAATGCCATGGAGAGGGCGCCCTCCCCCGAGCGCGCGCGAGAGGGATGGGACACGGCTCCGCTTTTTTTCAATTCTTTGCCGCCACCCCTCTCCTTAAAATCTCTGTGTGGTGGCGGCGTGCCGTCCTCCCATCCCCCCCTGGTTTTCTGTTTTCTTTCTTTCTGCCACGGGCGGCGCGCGACGCGTGTTTCGCCCGGTCCGTCGGGGACTCGGGGAGCTCACAGAAGACGGCCTGATGGAGAAGCTGCACGACCCCGCTTGTAAGGCGTGCGCCGTCTGCTCGCGCGAGCCGCGCAGCTGTCCATCCAGAGAGAGAGAGATTTTTAGCAATACCAAACAACTATCACACTCACACGTCATTTGGGGCCTGGCAACCCTGTCCACGCGCTTTTGTTGTCCATCCAGCACAACGGCGAGATTTTTGAAACCCAACATGAAATCACTGAAGTCGACAAACAAAGCTCGCCGCCTGGGCGGACGCGATGCGCGCCCCGGCCAACGCGCCGGTCGTGCACGACGACAAGGAGAAACCAGAGCTCACCCGGCGGTACAACGAGGGGTACAATGTCAGAACGGCCAGGTCTCTGTCAGAACATCTGCGGGAGCTCCACAAACCAGGTTTGCTCGCAATCGGAGGCATGTGACCCGAACGGTTGGGGCGCCACGCGCTGCTGCAAGAACCTCTTCCACTACCGCTGCCTGCACGCTTGGCTGAGCGACGATAGTGACGTCGAGACGAGCCACGGGATGGAGCCGATCAACACGGCCTGCCCTTGCTGCCGAGGCTTTGTTCCGAAGTCGGTGTCACGCATGTTGGGATAGCCCCATAGTGCATACCAAGCTGTAGCCCGTACGAGCAGTTCAGCAACAGCCAACACCATGTGACCAAGAACATAACAGCCGGCAAGAAAGAAGAACAAAAAACTTTTGCCGTATAAAGCCATGTATGTGAATGGCTAGTTCCATTTCACTCTGACACGCTAATCTTGAAAACGTCCAACGGAGCTCCGTGTTGCTCCCAGCGCCCTCCCCCGCGCTTCCTGCGGCCATGGCCGATGATACTAGTATGAGAGGTCATCTGGCTACCGCGAGCGCGACTCAACTCGCCGACGTCGTCCGATGATTGTGCCTCAAAGTCAGCCTCCGGAGGCTATCGTGGGGTCGAGCCGGCAGTAGCCGTGACATGTGGTTCCACCACCCCTCGTATGCTTTGCCTCTGACCGCCACCGTTCCCAGGCTGCCAAATGGGATGGAAAGGAAGGCTCGGCGAGCGTATAGATGCGTGCTCGACCTCGTCGTGTCAACTTGCACGACTGCGCTGGTAGGCGCGATGAGCGTCGTGCCACCTGACCCGAGACGGGTCGCAGGCGTCGTACCGAGCGCGTCGAGACTGTGTCCTGATGTGATCTGCACGGGTGAGTCACGTCGGCGTCAAAGGAGCGACGTGCGACCTGTCAGAGCTTGATCTCCGATCTCAGCGGCGTCGAGTCGTCTCCGGCGCGCGACAAAGGTACATCCCCAGGACGCGCAGAGGCAGCTGCGACCCCGCCAAGTGGACGGGGGCACTCCGCGCCACCTGCCGAGTGCCCCCGTCCACTCGGCGGGGTCACAGCTGCCTCTGGAAGGCACCGAGATGTACCTTTTTGCGCAAATGGTCAAATCAAGGTTTTGTAACGCGAGCTGTGCCACAGTGAAATGGCACTAGCCAATATGTCTGTCGGGCTGTCGGTGCAGCCACGCGGCGGTACGCGGCTTTTTCGTATATGGTATATCCTATTACGGAGCAGCTTCGTCTCTGCGGGATCATCCCGAGGCTAGCTGCGCGTCTCGCCGCCCCTGCTCGCTGCCGCTTTCGGCTCGTGGTGGCTAGGGATCCTTTCCCGGGAGTGAACCAGCGCGAGTGACTAGCCAAGAGGAGAAGAAACGCGCCCACAGCGCGAGAGGCGGTTTCACAGTCGAAGGGTCGGAACCACCGAAAGCAAGCTACCACGCGCCTTCTCAGTGAGGCTTCACCGTCAGGCTCCAAGCCACCAGACAACGAGAAAAAACCGATGGCATTGACCGATTACCAGCAGCAAGTGACGGCCGCACTCGCGGAGTGCGGCGACGCCGTTGGAGACGGCGCGCTAGAGGCAGTCGCGCGCGCGATGGCACTGACACCAAAAGAAGAAACTCGCGCACGAGCTCCCCCGCGGCCAGAGTGTCCTATACGTACGCAAGGGCCAGAGAGTTGGACGCGATAGCACTCGCGCGTCCTTCCTTCTCAACGACCTCCGGCGACCGCGCCTCCGACTCAGAGCATGCTCGCATCCTAGTCCACCTCCTCGATGCCCTCTGTGCCCTCTGGCGCATCGGCCGAGATGTGGCCGCCCTTGGGCAGCGCGAGCCAGAGGGTGAGGGCGCCAGGGCGCACGCGCAGCTCCGCGCGCATCTTCGGCGGCGCGTTGAGGAGCGCCTCCACGAGCGGGCTCTTAGGGGCCTGCGAGGCGCTCCCGCTGCCGTCGCTGACGTTGAAGCTCGCCTCGAAGACGCGGCCCGCGCCCGGCCGCCCGAGCCGCTCCCCGCGCCCGGGTCCGCGCGTGACTGCTTTGGCTGTGAACGACTCGGACGGCCGGAAGGTCAGGCTCGCCGTGGAGACCTGTCCTGGGAACTCCCTCTCGTGCTGGTGGTGGTATGCCACGGAGAGCCGCAGGCGGAGGGACGGCGCACCCGCCTCGTCCACCTCCAGCCGCATGCGGAGCCAAGCGGCGCGGTGGTGCGTGGCGCCGACGCCCAGCAGGCTCGCCGACTGCTTGAGCGCGCTCAGCTGCGCCGGCGAGAGGGCGACGACGATCTCTGGCTCGACCGCGTCCCGCTGCTTTGCGCGGCTCACGACGGTGTGCTTCTGAGTGTGCTCCCAGCCCTGCCCGTGGGTGTAGCGGCGCCCACAGCCGTCGAGCGTGTCGTCCTTCCGCAGCAGCAGGAAGCGGACCACGTTCTGCACGAGGTCGATGGTGAGGCCGCGCCGCTGCAGCGCCCAGACGTAGAAGCGCAGCAGCGGCGCCGCGGGCTGGTACAGGTGCGTCAGTGTCGTGAGCGACTTGTCGCTCACAACCGACGCGCCGTCGGCTATGCCGCCGCTCGCCGGGCTCGCGCGCGGGCCGCAGACGCGCAGGAAGGAGCCGACCAGCCCCTTGGCTCGCCCGTCCGGCCGCGGGCCGAGCACGGTGTGGCAGCCGGTGTGGCCGCTGAGGTGTATCTCACTCCAGTACTCCTCCGTGCGGCTCAGCAGGTTGGAGACCGAGAAGGTGAGCACGGGCGGAGGGCCCCGCGCGAGGGTGGGCGTGTGCAGGAGGCTGGGGGCGGGCACGACGGCGCGCATGCCGCTCATCGAGAGCTCGACCTCGCCGGTCGCGGGCAGCAGCGTGAGCTGCGCCGGCGGCGTCCACTTGTTGTCCCACCTGCTGCCGGTGTTGATGCGGACCGCATTCGCCGCTCGGATCATCGCCTCGAAAGCGGCGACCAGCGGCGGCGTCAGCTGGAGCCACAGCCACACCTCCTCCGCCTCGGACTCGCCCCCTCCCTCCCGCCGCTGGCCGCACCGCCGCACGTCGTCGAAGAAGGACTCGAAGACGCACTTCGTCCAGTCGCCCTCGGCCGCCTGGGCGGCGGTGAGGGAAGCGGCGGTGGGGGCGGTGGTGGTGAGGGGAGCGGCGGTGGGGGCGGCGGTGGGGGAAGCGGAGGTTGGGCGGCGGCGGTGAGAGAAGCGGGGAGCGCGGCAGCCACGACCAGCAAAGGGCGGAGGGTGAGTGGGTGGGCGGGTGGGTGGTGTGAGGGGGGGTGCGGCAGAGAGGGCAGAGCCGGTGACGCCTCCACCTTTGCCGCCTTGGAGGCGGTCGCAGGCTTGTGCCAGGTCAGATCCTTGAGCGCCGCGAGGTCGAAGCTCTCCGTGGCGCCATCGTACGTGTTGCGCGCCGCTGCCGGCTTGGAGGCCCATTGCACGACAAACGCACCGGGCGTGGTGAGCGGGGCAACGGCGGCGGCGATGGCGACGGTGGCGTCGGCGGCGGAGGAGGAGCCGGCGTCGGCGGCGGAGGAGGAGCCGGCGTCGGCGGCGGAGCCGCCAGCGTCGGCGGAGACTGCGCCAGTGTCCGGCAGCGGCAGACTGACGGAGATCGTGGGCGACGGCTCGAAGCCGACCACCTTCCCTGCTTTCCTGCCGTCGCTCGAGAAAACTCTCAGGCCGATCTTGACGCCGTCGACACTGCCGTGGACCTGCAGATTCTTGTAGGCGGGCGCCTCATTGTTCTGGCGGTCCCACTCCTTGCGCTCCTGCTTGACGATCGCCTCGAGCCGCTGCGCCGAGATCACGCCGCGATACAAGCTTTCCACGAGCACCTCTTTGGGCTGCGACATGAGCCACTCCCAAAGCGCAACCTTCTTGTCGTTCCGCCTCTCCTCGGAGCTCTTAGCGGCAACTTGTGTGAGAGAATCCATGCAGAAGCCAACGCGAACCCGGGGCGCGCGTTTTCCGCGCGGTTTCTCGAGGTCTCGAGGTGGATATCCTTTGGCCGCGTTGGGTAGCGAGGATTGGTGTAACCCGAGCCACGGAGGCGTGTTTTCTGGCGGCCGACCGTCAGTGCACGGAGTTGCCACTTCTCCGACTGCCCCGGCTAGTTCACGAGTTTCGCGGGAGTGACCCCATGCGTCAAACCCGAGACCTAGCGCGGGTGGGTTGGAGGGGGCTCGCCCCGTTCCTCCCCATCGGGCCGCGTGAGCGGCCTCGCCTCGCAGATTCGTTTTTCGCGCCTGGGTCAGGCGCGCGGGGCATCCCCCGGGTCGCTCGACCAGCGATCCGAAGAGTGGCCGCTATGCGAGGGAAAGAGCGGGGCCCTCGACCGAGGTCGCTGATTGTACGACCGAGGTCGCAGAGCCTTGGCGACGCGACGCGCACGTCGCCAAGGAGTTCGTAAAATGTCAGAGTTTTTTTTCACACACTCGCTCGGAAAAGTGAAATTTCGTTTCACATGAAATGTGAAGTGAAAGTGAAAGTGAAAGTGAAATCGAAACACCTCCATGGCGGAAAAGAATCCGTCTTTCTGTTCGCGCGTCGCGTCTCGCGAACCCCGTCACGCTCACGGCGGTGACATGCGTGTGAAAAGCGAGCCAACCAAGATGGGGTGTTAGAGCCGTGTAGAGGTGTACACGTTTGAAAGGGTCACAACAGGGTTACCGTTCGTCTGCTGTCGACCCGCAGTGGCCCGCACGTACTCACAATAACACCTCTGCTCTCTGGAGGTCTCTCAAGTTGCGCCAGTGGTCCTTGGGCTACAATATATTGCCCACCATCACGGCAGCTTGAGGCGCCGCACCTGGCCGGGTGGCAGATGGGACAGCAGCTCGTCCGTCTTGGCAAAGAGGGCCAGCGCACCTACGCGGTGAATCCACCAACACCAGGGCGGGAATGCGGTGTGCAGTGTATTTCGAGCACCGCGTGAATACACGGGATATACGAAGAGAGAGAGAGGGAGGGAGGGAGAGAGAGAGAGAGAGAGAGAGAGAGAGAGAGAGAGAGAGAGAGAGAGAGAGAGAGAGTACGAATGCAGTGAACACAGCGGAACACAGTCGACTACAGCGGAGTAGGTGTCCTCTCGAGCGCGAGTGGGAAGGGCAAGAGATGAGGTCCGCGTGCCGCCCACCCGGCCGGTCGGGTGGGGGGGCGGGTGGGGTGCGCGCGGGGTGCGCGCGGGGTGCGCGCAGAGGGCGGCGGGTATGCGCGGCGGGTAAGGCAAGACTTCGCATTCCGCTTCTGGGGCGCCCGCGCGCCTCCCGTGTGCCAAAAG